CCCAGTTTCTCGCTGACGATCGGTAATATTTGATAAATTAAACTTTTACCAAAACCTGTCGGGAGTAGGGCCACGACATCACCTCCATTCAAAATGTTTAACAAACACTCTTCTTGTTCGGGCTTCAGTTTGTAAATGCCAGGAATATTCTCCACAACAGAGCGAATTGCATCCCGTGTCTCCATATCCGCGGTCGTTTTCGATTTCCCCAATCTTAAACTCGGCGCTTAGCGTCTACGTCACGGCTCTCAGCCCGCCCTCTGTTCGTTGATTGGCCGGCTGTTTTCAGGCCGGAGGAAAACTGAGAGACATGTCGATGTCTCAGACTAAGTACAGACAGAGAATGTCTAATTGAAGAGAATTGGCACTGTCTGGTTACTTCCGGTTTCTGGACTGGCTGCAGTAACACGTCTCTGTCCATGTGGGGGCGCTCGCAGGCGAGTGCAGAATGAATGGGAGTCTATGGGGTTTCACCCCCAGAAATCCACTTTTCTCAGGATGTAATTTTTTGTTAAGTAATTTGAAAGTTGCATTCAAAAGGGAGGGCTAAGATAATACACTCAGCTGAAAATTGCATTTTTAAGTTCACTTATCTGTTCTAAAAATCCGTTCAAAAATGTGATGACGTCACATAATAGCAGAATGCTAGCGTGTTCCGGCCAACAACGGCCTAACCTGTAAGAAATCGAAAGGACATAAGTACTCGTTCATTCGACTTTTGGCCTATAATGTATATTGAACTTGCGGAATCAACAATAAAATCTATGTTGATTCAACGACAAGCAGGAGAAAGAGATACATTTAGCCGTTTAGCTCCATAGACTCCCATTCATTCTGCACTCGCCCGCAGTGGAATTCTAATGGAACTGCAACCAATATGATACACAATGGGGCTAATAGGAAGTGCCAAGGCTTTCCGTTAGACAGGCTCTGGTACAGAAGCGAAATGAAATTGAGCGGAAGTACGAAGTCTGACGTAGTCAGGCTAGATTGCAGCACCCCAAAAGCTGAAAATTTGGATTGCTAACAAAAAGAAATAAGAAAAAAGTAAAACAATGTTTTTAACAACATATTATTGTTTGGCTTTTTGTTCAACTTGATTGAAACAATTTACATAACTAAAAACTTTTTTTCTATTTTAAAATATTTTAAAATGTAATTTATGATGTTTCCTAACAAAGTTCGGGAGGAGCATGTTCAGATAATTAAACACATGTGGAGCACATTCAGGTAATCAAGCCTAATTAGACACGAGTGGAGCACACTCCCAATCAATGAGGTAAGAGGTATATATTCAGCAAACTTAACTCAGTTCTTTGACAGTCTAACAGCATCCCTCCACCACCCCATCTCCTCACTTCTTCTCCTAAATACTCTTACAACAAGGGGGAGCACTCGGGGTTCGGGCAAAAATTTCCGAGCTCGGAGCCCTCCCCCTGGACAGCACGCCAAATACGCATAATCTTTACTCTGTTTAATTGATGTAAATGTGAACTCGTGAAATTCCTTTGATGCAAAGCTGAATTTTTAGCACCATTACTCCAGTCTTCAGTGTTTATTTGAAATAGACATCATTTTGTAACATTACAAATGTCTTTTCAGTCTCTTTTGATCAATTTAATGCATCATTGCTGGATGAAAGTATCCATTTCTGTAAAAAAAAAAAATATATATATATATATATATATATATCACTGCCCTCAAAGGCAGAAAGGCAGACAGAAAACACCGACATAAATCCTCATAAATAAAAAAGAGGTATCAAAATACTTTAGTTACAGCATTCCCGAGTTAATTTCAGCACACTGCTCTCCCAAACATAACTGATATACAAACTGATTTTCATAATATATACAACCTAAAATTGTTGAAAAAGCAGGTTCTCTCGTGGGTCATGAACACTTATTCCACACAAAAAACAAACACACAGCGAACCTAATAAGAGCTCAAACATTACGATCTGCAAAGACTCTCTTGTTTTTCCATTGTGTGAAGAGAATTACTGGCAAGGAAATTATGAAATGATGAGAACGTTTATTGACCATGGAAGAGGGGGAAGTCCATTTTGTAACAGACTCGATTTCAGTAGCATTCATTAGCAGTGTTTCGGAAGCTACTTTGCAACCGCTGTTTGCCAAGCTATACCCATAATTGACTGCTCAAACTAGCTCAAAATACCTAGAAATGTAGCAGTATTACCAGGAAGCTATGCTATATGCTACACAGCTACTGTACTGACAATGAAGTCAAGTTTAATAGTATTTTCTCACAAAATTTTCCCTCAAACTAATTCTGGATCAGAAAGAGACACAAGCTCTGTTCCAAAACCCAGTGAGATGTTTAAGCAGCATTTAAATGCTACTGACGCAAAGGCATCAAACAGCAGGTAGCAAAATTACACAGCCTTCATTACGAAGCAGAGAGAAATGCTGATTATAAATATCACTCATGCAGTACTGAAAAGTGTAAAGGGAGTTCATTTTAATTAAAAAATAACTGCTTTATTCACTATTTAAGCTTTCAGAGCTTTTTTTTTTTCATTGTTAGCTTAGCAACATGGGCTAAAAAGGAGTGGAATGATTCAAATCAAAATGTGTTGCCATCAGTGTTGTGCCTGAACAACTGAACGATAGTTCATGAACTCGTTCATATTTTCGGCGAACGTGAACTGAACGTACTGAATTACTGCCTGATGAACGATACTGTGTACGCGTTCATTCTGGTGTCTGTGAATGCACGCTCTCTCAGTTTAACTTCGTTCAATAGGGTGCCAGATTTCTATAGAGCCTTCCAGGCGAAAACCCGGCTAAAACACGCGTAAACAGGCCTTAATATGTAGCGAAAAAAAACACCCAATCTGGCAACACCAGCCACCAGTGTCGCGCCGCGGCCGCCGTATGCGTCATCAAGACAAGAAGCAGCATGTAGTCGACAAAGCAGCGAGCGAGGAGGCGTCGTATGATCATTTAAACGAGTTTTATGACAAGGTCGGTGAGGATGGGAAAAATCTGACATTTCTGTGCAAAATTTGCCCGTCGATAAAATAATTGCTGTCTGTAGAGGTTGTATATGGGCTGTGGCAATAATAATAAAAAATAAAAATAAAAAAAACCTCGCAGCAACATATGGAAAAAAAGACATATGAACTAGTTCATTTTTTGAAGTATGAACTATGAACTGAACTAGTTCATTTTAAAATTTGTGAACTGAACTTTGAACTAGTTCATGTAGAAAATGAACTTTCCCAACACTGGTTGCCAAATTAGTCAATTATGGGGTTTAATTTCAAAAGGAGAGTAACGTTAGAACTTCACCTTGAGCTTCAGGTGCGTTAAAATATCTGAACTTTTTCAGCTTGACCGTATGCGACCACCAGACTGGATGTGATGTATGCTAATCATATATGAGTGCAAAAAACTGTTCTCCTCTAAAGCGTTAATCCTTACACTGTTTTAGTAAAACGGGTGGTTATAAATGTATGTAATGATTATTTTATAATTATTTATGTTGATTGCCCCTAGAAAAGCAACTATGCTTTCAGAACTATTAGCGGTTATTGTTTTGTGTGGATATATTCACACACAATCACTTTTGGAGTGGAGGATAAAGGCTCCTTCACGACCAATTTGAAAATTCAGTGCAACTGCCACGAGAGGACAAAATGCAACAATCATTCAATAGTGATAGTGGAAAGCAGCTTCAGAAGCCAGCTGACAACAGGTCTGGTTATGTTTTGTAACAGTGCATTGACATGTTAGATTAGGCGAACTAAATGTTTCTATTTTCAAAGTACATTTGGTGACTATATTCTCCTTAGATAAGCCCATTCTAAAAGACAAAAATAAATAAATAAAGATCCAAAGTAGCACCTGAGGACAAACTATATACAACCTGCTTTAAATGCATATCTACAAGTTCACAGGACTAATGTGGGCATAAATCAAGCCCATTCTGCCAACACGAGCTGAACAGGCAAATATTTCAAAAGTGTTAAACAGAAGGAGAATAAATGGTATTGATTTCAGACCTGATGCCAGAGGACCAAATGTCTCGAGGCAGGTCACATGGATGTGCCTGACTGGTGCTAATTACAGAAATTACCTAAAACCATCAGTCATCAGAAGAAGAGCACCTGTTTGGAATTAGTGATGCACCAAAACCATTTTAGCGAAACATTGAAACCAAAAATAAAGTTTATTTAATAATCAGTTAATTAATCAAAAGTAATAATTAACACTAAAAATATGTACACAGACATTTCAACTTTTTAATTATATAATTAGGTTTCTACTCAAATGTGTTGTAGAAATATAAATGGTGGCTGTAATAAAAACGTTCAATACAGATTTATTCAAACTTACATTAAACAATGAAGACAACAGTTTAAGTAAAAATATAATGAAAATGTAATAGTGCATATATTTACAAAAATGCTCCTCTCTAGAGATGTTTTCCTCTAGCTGACTATCGAGCTGTGGACAATGAATGACTTTCCTGAGGTAAACGTGACCGTATATATTGCTGACAAACACTTTTATTGAAGTCTTTCTGCAGCTAAAACGCTGCTGTAGCAATTACATGAGACATGATGAATTTCAGTAAGATTACTGGATGGTAGGCACACTACAAATAATGTTTAGTGAACTTTTGTTCATGCATCAACTGAAAACAGCACCGGTTCATCAAAATGAAGATCCATTAAAACAGGAAATCGATATTTTTAACCCAGCCCTGGCTTCCACACAGCTTGCTGTAGTTTATCCACATTGTGTGTACATAACAGTACGCGCCATTGGAGAAAAGCTAGCTAATTGACCATATCGGTCAATTATTTTGGCCCTTAAAACCGAAAATTCTTTTTCAGCCAAATATTTGTAGTTGCCAAAATTTTAGGGTATCAATATTTGGAATAATATAATCAGGATTTTAGTTGTTCCAAACAAAGTATGAGAAATCTATTGCAACAGCCTTTAAAGAGATGACAAAAAGTTTGGACATACTTGACATTGGTATTGGTGCAGATGATGTACTCGATCTCATCCGAATAAGGGTTCTGGAAGGTGAAACTGCTGGTTCTGATGAGCATCCACTCTCGGTTCTTCATCCGGAACCGGTACATGACTGAGAGAACCTGCCCTTTCAGCTTGACCACCTAAACGCAACAGAAGAACAAGGGAGGACATGGGACATCAATTCACATTCACATGCTCTTTCATCTTATAAATTTAAATGTGTAAGACTGTCCTGATTCAGACTGGGGGCGGGTAGCTCTAAAGGTTACAACTTATGCACTACAAAATGTGTTTGCGTTTAAGTCACCATAAAAACTAAATTCAGAACTCTAGTCTTTTTTATGGTAAATTGCAGTATTTGATTAATCAGTGCACATCATTATTTGTTTAAAATGCATGTGCTCTCATAATCTTTAATCAAAATAACGTCCCCTCCCTCTTGCAGCAATATCTTTTCACTGTTGATCGACCAATAGCAAACAACCATCCAGCCATCCAATCAATTCCCCATGGACAAAATGCCTTTTTTTTCTTGTTCAAGAAGCAGTTTCAAAACTAGACTATCACAATTTCAGTTTCATACCGACTTAAAACTTAGTTGAAATATTTACATTAGTCAGGAGTAAATGTTGGAATAGAACTGTAGAGTGATCAAATTGCATCAACTGACTTTACCTAACTGACTTTAATCCTTTAGACATATAATGATGTTGACATTTACACTCATTTACATTAAGAGAGAGAACATTATGTGAATAAATGACTTGCAGCTCCTGAACACAAAAGCAATCTAAACAGCACACCTATGTGTGCATCGCTCCGCTCACATTTTTTTTATCTGTATATATTTACTGCTCCTTATTAATTTCAAATACAATATCTGAAAGTCATTAACATATAAAATACGTATTATTTTATCACTAAGTATTGTTCGTATTTTAATGGAAAATTATTTTTACTGTTAGTTATGTGAGGCAAAAGATAGAATCAACCTAAGCAGGATAAACTGAAATTCACAGCATTTAAATGACTTCTGCTCACAAATTAAAGGATGCTATTGGATTACTCAAGGCAAAAGACATAATATGCAACTACGCATTTAATTTTTCTTACGACCTAACTTGATACGCTCTGCCTTAAGAACTAACGGTGCAACCAAATTAAGCAGGGTTATTATCATTAACTAAAACTATTAAAAACATTTCTGTTAATTGAGGTAAAGCTGAAATAAAATAAAATATAAATATTAGTTTAATAACTTAAAGTAAACGAAAATTAGAAATGTTGCCTTGGCAATAAACTGAAATAAGTTTACGCACTACAATTTTCACCTGGAAATAAATAAAAACTATAACTGACATTTAAAATTAATATTTAAAATAATAATAATATTAATAAAATGACAAAAGCACATAATGAAATTACAAAAAAAATAAAACTAAAATAACACTGGTACAGAGTTAGTTACAAACTAGCTAGTTGCGAAGCCTAATGTGCATTTTATGTTCCAGTTTATGTAAGAACTTACGAATAGCTGGTGCAACCATATACCTGGATCTTTATTTCCATGCACGACATAAGGAATAAGCTAAATCTAACCAATCGGTTCCTAAAGCAAATACCAAATGTATTACTACGGTACCCCACCAGAAACCAAAATTAAGACTAGTCAAGTGCCAAATGTGAACACAAATTGGCTTTAGGAATTAAGAACATTAAAATTTGACATGCTTTATGCAAAAATAATAATTAATAATTAAATACAGAAGACAAACAAACCCCTTTACAGACAACATCATTGAATAACATTTACCATCTTTGGTTTATCTAGGATGCATAAAGGGGGTTTTCCCTTTCAGAACTCCATGAGGCAACACATGAGGAGGAGTATTCCTCACATTACGGATGCAAAAACATTTGTATGAGGAACAAGACTGGCTCATCTTGAGCAAATGTCGGACTCTGGACTGCATCCACATGCTCGCCACACACAGTCACCTCTATTGTCACTTAAAGCAATGTTTGCCCATCCAAGTACAGAGATTGCTTTAAATAAAAATCTGTGCCCAGAGAAAACAACTTTCCACTCAACAGAGCATGAAAGACAACGAGAAAGATCTTCAAAGTTCAAAAACCTTATAAAGTATTTACCCGAAAATGGCTCTCTTAAACAAACAGCACAGCCGGCAGCACTTCAAGTGAGTAAAAAAAAAAAATGAATACAATGAGTTAAAATAAAATAAAAAGAAACTTGACTTTTTAGATGTATATCCTGCTTTGAGAGAGGATATAGAATATTATTCTTGGAGACAAGAGGCCACTTTCCCTTTAGCCTTGAGAAATCTCAGGAGGGAGGGAAAGACACAAACATTTTTTTTCAGAACGTCACCTCTTCCTTCTGAAACAGAACCCAGAGTTCATAGTGTCAACGCTAAACCAAAGCTGAGGTCACATGACTCACACGCACCTCTTAACAGAAGCACCATGCGCTGTTTGGACATTTATGTTTTTTATTTACTCACTCTTAAAAATAAAGGTTCTCTATTGCAGCCTTTCTCAAACTTTTTTCAGTCGGGGCACCTTTCAAAAGTGCATAAAATCTCAAGGCACCCCAGTGTAAAACATAAATTAAAAACACTGCATAACCCAAATGTAAATGCAAATGTCCTGTTTATTTAGACAGAACAGTAATGAACAGAGCATAATACGAACTGTAAATAACAATAACAATAATAATAACAACAGGGCTGTCACTTTTGTGAAAAAATCCTGATCGATTTTTGAGACATAAATGTTCATTGAATCGATTGTAAAATCGATTTTCCATGTCTAAAGACGTTTCCATTTTCAGCGCCAAATATAGGCAAATCCACGGACAACTAACAGGCATTAGCACGAGCGTAAAGAGTGCGCTTGAGACGCGCACAAGTCAGCAATATTTCTGATGATTTATTGGCATGAAGTTTCGTGCACAATGACAAACAGGAGTGCAAGATTCTCGAAAAACAATAAGCAGAGTGGACTGCCATAACATCAATGAAAAACATTACTGCAGGCTTAGACATGGCTGTGTTTACGATTAGAAATGTCAAACAAATTTCGCCTACGTAGGCGATTGTAGGCCGGATCTGTATCTGTATGCATGAGACTGTCTGAATACCGGCAGAATTCACATTTTTGTTGTAAAAAGAGACACGTTATGCAGAAGTATAGTATAGTTTGTATGTGTGTTTGTCAGAGCCTGCAGTTGCTGTGTGACGCGCGTTCGCTGCGGGCGTGTCGTGACGAGCTGGACGCGCTCCGAGAGAAGGCCGTTAAAATCGATTCCCTATTTTCGTTTTCGATACTTGTGTTGGTTGGTCCGATCGATTGTGCAATCGATTTTCGAACGTAAAGTGACAGCCCTTTTGCAAAGTAATTCACAAAATAATTAATCAGAGACACAAATGCCATAAAACCGTAAGAGGTGGACCGCCCAATACAAGGGCTCAAACATATAGCCTATCAATGATAACATTGTGGTAAAAAAAAAATGTATTTGCTTATAATTAACATGACAATGTGTACAAAACTAAAGTGGCCTAAATTCACGTTTATTTTTTACGTTTCTGTCAGTCTGAGCTGAGGTGTTGTTGCTATAACGCGTTGCTATGGGTTGCGTCACTTGCGTCAAGTTGTGTGTGTGTCTTGCTTCGATCTTGTGAGACGGATTTTTATGGTTAATTTTATATATATATTTATCTAAAATGAATTTACAATTTTATTAATACGTTCATATGTTTAAAAAGAAGAAGAATGTATTTATGTAAATTCAAATATATATATATATTATTTTTTTAGCCTACGTAATTTTTTGGCGGCACCCCTGACAAAGTCAGGGGGCACCCCAGTGTGCCGCGGCACCCACTTTGAGAAAGGCTGCTCTATTGGCATCAAAGGGTCTAAAGAACCTTTAATGTTCATGGAACCTTTACATTCCACAAAAGGTTCTTTATAGTGTAAAAAGGTTCTTCAGATTATTAAAATGTCCTTCACACTAAGAAAAAAAAAGAAGTTCTTTAAGAAAAAGGTTCTTTGGAAAACCAAAAATAGTTATTCTATTGCATTGCAACGGAAACCTCTTTTTGGGAGCTTTATTATAAGTGTGTCGTATGTACTGAGAAGTGTACGTAGTAAACAGTAAGCACTGATATATTGGATAATTTTAGATATAAATCTACATTATTTGAGACTATTATAAGGTGAGCATATTTTTTGTTATCAATGTAAAGTGAAAAATGGCTTTTAGTTTTAAAACCGTTGCAACAACAGAAAACAATTGAATCATTTAGGAAATGTATGCCTACAATGAACCACTGGATTAAAGAAATTATACATGCCTATGTACAACAAACAGAGTTGTTAGTGTTATAACAAAACAAATATATATATATATAAATATAATATAATAATAATAATAATAATTCATTACATTTATATAGCGCTTTTCTAGGTACTCAAAGCGCTTCACATAGAAGGGGGAATCTCCTCAACCACCACCAATGTGCAGCATCCACTTGGATGATGCGACGGCAGCCATAGTGCGCCAGAACGCTCACCACACACCAGCTTACTGGTGGAGAGGAGACAGAGTGATGAAGCCAATCAGTGTGTATATATATATATATATATATATATATATAATGTCATTAAGTGAAATAAAACTGAAGTAAAACAAAATAATAGCTGAAAAATGTAAACTTCATAAACTTAAATGAGAAGTAAAAATGTTACTTTGGCAACTAACTGAAATAAGTTGAAGTACTAAAATTAGAACTAAATTAAAGCTAAATAGAAATATAAAAAAAAGCACATAACAAAACACTAGACCTTAAACTAAAATTAAAATATAAAAAAGTTTTATTATTAATTATAATGATGAAATAATAATTTGAAAAGTTATTAAAATATGAATGAACACTAAAATTGCATATAAATAATACAAAAATAACACTGATAACAATAAAATAAAGCAACAAAATACCTGGGTGCAAAGGGGGAAAAAAATCTTACAGGCTCTGAGTAAACATGTTATTTCATTTGTGTTTAAAAATAGGTAGGCCAATTAGAATGAACGTGATATCCCATGACCATTTGCCTATAATTAAATATTAAATGCATCAGCTTATTATTTTACTAAAGTCACATGACCGCAGATATACTGTGCCTGCCTAGCTGTAATTTCCCATCTGCAATGATTTAATTGGATTGTGAACATTTACCAGAATGAAGATGGGAGGTTGAAGGTGGGATGCTGAAAAATAGGGATTTGTGGTTTCCACCAAATAGGGAAAACTTTTTAATATCAAAGTTATTAAATCAGATTAGATTAAAATTATAAAACCAGGAATGTGTATTAAAAGGGTAAATTTGAAGCTTAAGTTGACTTCAGGGAAGCCAGGGAATTCTGGATTGTGATATATCAGGGCAGGATCTTAGATGTATATCTCTCTATGGATTTCATTCTTCATTCTTTTATGACAAATGGTCTCTTCATCTTCACGTGGTAAAGAATCTGTCAAGTAAGAATCCAGTAGTCCTCAAAATCAAATGATTTTGAGCAACCCAGCGAATGTATATTGTTCTAGCCTCTGACATCTGCCGGGACTTAATATCGAAACTACAGGCCAAGAATAACACAATCTCCCGCCTTTCACCGTCTCGCTACGCATAAATTGTCGGCTTTTGTTCCACTTGGCTTCAAAAGTACAAGATAAGACACAGATAAGACTCAGAAACAGGTGTCTATGTGAGAGTTTGCTTGTGCACGACAACGTATATGTGTGGTCTCGAGTTTCGAAGGAGTCTAGTTATCTGAAGGCTTTTCTGGATATCAGCCAAAAAGGGTCTTTATCAGCAGTCAACAGACCTACGCAGAGAAACAGGCGAAAGTACTTTGACAAATCTCTTTGTGGCGTACCTGACCACTCAACCTTGGCCTTCTGGGAAAAGCGAGGCGGAGGATTTGAGGGTCTTTTAAGAAGTGGAGCACGTAATATAGAGGGCACAATCATCTAGGGAGTAAAGCCCACCTTCAAGTGCCCACAATATCATCCCCTGGGGTGGAATACCAACACACACACACTGTGTGTATGTGACCCTCACATACACACGGTTGGCATAAATGTGTGTGGATATCAGGATGTGAAGAGAATACTGATGATAGCTGACAGGAAGTTTAAGACAAAGAAAAAGGGGCTGAAAAGACTGAAAGCTAGGGGAATAAAGAGCAAAAGAAAGACCAAAGATAAAGAGGTAGGATGAGGAAAAGAACAGGAAAAAATGCGACCCGACAGGAAGAGTAAGAGGCGAAGCCAGAAAGACCTGTGTGGAGTACCAGCTTGTGGTCTAATTGGCAAAGTGATACAACAAGAGAAAGACAAAATCCAACAGATGAAATGGTGAAAACCATGGAAGAGGACCGTGGAAGCGACCACTCGACCACCCTTTGCCATACTCCACAGGTACTCGGCGGACTCAGAGAAACTCTCAGCGGCGGCCAATCAACACCTATTAACTGACTCCAAGGAGAGCCGCAGCTACTGGTACTGAATGACTAACCAAACAACACTTGAGTTCACTTCCTAGTTCTGACTGGAGAGGGGAAGCTAAGGATTGTGGGGCGTGTTGAGAAGAATTTGTTTTTATTGGCAAGCAAAGTTTACACAATATCACACCAGAGCTCAGAGGTTTCCGTTTCATAGCTTTGGAGACAATCAAGTTCTCAGTTATGTAGCCTTGTCTTAGATATTTCTCCTGAAATTAGGAGAATTCTTACTAACTGCAATTCTGGACATAAAACAAATCACATGAAAAACACCCCAAAGGTCGACTTTTTGCGTTGCTCCCAGATTGCATTCATTTGCACTCTTTCTTTCTTGTGCTTTTTCTAAAGGGAATACGCCTAGGGGCCAGATTCTTCAGAAAATCTTAAGAAAGAAGATTTAACACTTTTCAGTAACATTAACGAACAAAGAGAAATATATGCATTATAGTGTTTGTTAACATTAATAAAAATGCAGCTGTTCATTGTTAGTTAATGTTTAGTAAATTAACATTAACTATGATTAATAAAATACTTTAGAAGTATTTTTCATTGTTAGTTCATGCTAGGGCTGCACAATTAAATGCAATGAAACCGCACGAGATTTGGCAAAGGCTGCGATTATCTTATGTGCAGCTTGTCAGTGCAGAACGGATCTGAACACCAGAGGGCTAAACTGTCACTATGAAGTGAGTTTGGAGTAAAAGCATGTATTAAATGTTGTCTTTTGTTGGACAAAGAGGTTCATAAATGCTTCTCATGTTGGGAAAGATGTTTGACGCGTGTTGCTTTTTCAAATGCGCAATGCTTTCAGACGGAGCAGCTTTTACAGAGCCATACATCAATGACAAGCTGCGCATAAAAAAAATATTAATCGCAGCCTTTGCGATTTCAAAAATGGCAATGAGCCAAATCGGTTTAAGTGCGATTTCATGTAAATTGCGATTAATCGTGCAGCCCTAGTTCATGCTAACTAATATAACAAATGAAACCTTATTGTAAAGTGTTGCCGAAATTTCTTAAGATAAATATAAATTGTTATAATTATTATTAAGTTTAAAAATTATTTAGTTCTTAAATGTGCTCTACGTAATTTTTGACTGTACTAAAGCATAAACATACCATAATGTGTTTATGTAACATGTAATATGAAACATTCTAAGTTCACATAGTCGTTTCTCCGGGAAACAATGCTACAGCCAGTTATTTAACTTTGAAATGTGTTAAGACGTTAAGAAATTCCTTAAGATACATTCTGAGAAGTTCATAAGAATATTCCCAAGTACAAGTCTTGACAAGTTCTCAAAGAAAACAAGACTTTTAATCTTAAGAATGTTTTGCTAATTCAACCCCATGTGACTCCATTAGCTCTTACATACATCTCATCTGTGTCTAAGAGAAACAGTGAGAGATCTCAGTCATGATGGTAGTCATGATGCTGACTGTCAAACCTCCGTGTGTGTGTGTGTGTGACCAGATCACCATTGGCTGTTTGGTGTGGTCTGGTTGACGTACCTGCTGAAAGCTCTCTCTCAGGTGGCTCTGATCCTCTGGGTGGCAGAACTCTAGAATATCTTTGCCAAGAAGATCCTGTGTAAACGCAATTAAAATGAACAGTTACATGAATGCTTGATTTATATGAGCTCTTAGTACTTGTTAAACATAAGAAACAGACAGCATCAGGTTAATAAAGAATAATAACTGGAACATTTTGACTATTTCAAGCAGTGGTAAGCCTCCATTGCTCTCTATTATTCAGAAAATGAATCTGTGATTAAGGTCATATGAATCACAAATAAACAAATAGGACATAAATACTGTCAAAACACTGCCTTAATAATTTGTAACTGTGCAATAGTATAATGCTGTACGTTTAATCAAAATGACCTGAGGCTGGTAGCCAATCACATTGATGCAACGAGGGTCCACAAACGTGATAATGCCATCCGAGTTGTGACGGGAAAGGAATTCCGTTGGCACAGAGAGTCCGTTCATATCCATGGAAACTGGAGAGCTGGTCACCTGAGGGACAAGATGAAGGGATCTTTACACAACAGATGGTCAGGATGATCAAACATACAGATGCATGCTTTGTAACACCACACTATCGTGAGATTGTGAAAGAGTTAGTTGTCTATACAGATGAAGGTGTGGGAAAGTATTTATTGAGAAGAAAAATCACATTTAAATAAACCATGCTAGATATATAAAAAATAAATTAATTTGACACATTTCGAAAAATTAAAGGTGCACTATGCAGGATTTTCAGTTACTGTTTAAAATATTTTAGTTACTGTTTGTGTGTGTGTATAAAAAACAGTCTGTAGACACAAACCCCATCACACACTTCTAATGGATCATAAATAATGATTAAGAGCCATTCTTTTTGTATGAGTCTACACTTTATTTTTGGGGAAAATCCTGCATAGTGCACCTTTAAGTACTCAAAAGTTGCTGATATTTATTAAAGCAAGAAATACTTTTCCGCAAGTGACACTTCACTTGAGTATAACAAATGAGTTTGTTATATGAGAGCTGACAAGGTACTTTTTTATAATGACAGATGAATTAAGTTCCCAGAAATATCACGTGCCAAGAAATATAAGTTTTGATAAACGACAGAATCAACATATCCTAATATTTCTTCTGTGCAAAGTATTACATAAATATTGAAATCCCAGACACATCCCATAACTCATCAAGATACATTATATTCACAAACAAGTTGAATCAAAGAAAAATGCACCTTAGATCATTGGGTTCTCTTATTGCAATAGGAGTAGTTGTAATCAGTGTAAAAATGCTTGCATATGCAAAACAATGCTACGGAGATGTGGGTGGTAACTGTGACATTGCTATGCCTTTTATCAGTGGCGGTCTTAACATAGAGGCATAGGTAGGCGGCTGCTTGGGGCCCCCTACCAGCGGTCGTAGTAGGGGGGCCCCCAACCAACCTCAAAAAAATATATATAAAAGAAAAGAAAAAGCCCCTTATCATCATGAACGCTTCAAACGCATAGTAAATGTTATTAATATTCTTAAGAAATACGTTGAAATGTTGAAGTAGTAGTTAAAATGTCCAGTTCATGGTTATCTGTCCCTACACATAACACCCCCTACTTTCGCAATAAAATGAACTAGTCCGAACGGAAACCGCGAAAGATAAACATGACAGGAGGACTGGGAAGTACACAACGAAGCAAGACGAGTCTAAACGCGAAAATGAAACGAAGTCACCCAAGCGGCTCAAATAAAAGAAAAAAAGACAAAAGACGCCGATATGTATTTGGCAACACTGCCAAAAATGACTAACTTTTTTACGCCTACTGTTAGGGACACATGCCGCTACAGCAGCAGCTGTGAAGTGACGCTAGTTGAGGATAACGTGTAAGTTATACTGTTATACTGAAAGGGCAAAAGTAAATATGACATTTATTATGGGTTTATCTGATGATTGTTTTAAGTTCACGTAAATTAAAAGTTGTTAAATATTTTTTGAAGCCTAATAAATGTAAATTTTTTGGCTTTCAATTACACTGTAATGTTGGATGGCTGGCTATAATTAATGTTTAAAATTAGGGGATAAAATCAGTTTTATCCAGACATCATTAGTTGTATTAGTATCAGTGATACTGACCTTCATTCATAAAAAGATGCCATTAAACAAGTATTTAAAATATACTGTCTTTATGTTGTCTCTACATTCATTTGTAGATTAACTGTGAAATTATTACATTATAAAATATATAAACTAATACAAACCTATAAAAATGTTAGTTTGTAGAATGTTTGAAATGTTAATCTCATGTGCAATGCCAATTGCAACCTCACTCACTCATACAAAGTCAATTATTCATCTTGGCAATATTTGCTAAGTATATGGCTGTTTGTGGGGGTTTAGCCTAACTACTTGTCTTGCTGGTTATATTGATATTGATATTGATTTGATCTTAAAAAAAGAATAAACAGTGCTGGGTTTCCTGGCATTTTGGCAAAGACAGGTGTTATCTGAAACCTTATTCTCTGTTGGGAAGGGTTTTTTTTCTCCTCTCCAACCTTTACTTCCCCGTAGATACGCTTTTCCTACCATTCAGTCAGTAATTTTTTTTTTCCGTTCTCATAAAGATGGGATGCGGGGGCCCCCATACGTACCTTCGCTTTGGGCCCCCAATTTGCTAAATCCGCCACTGCCTTTTATGAGTGGTTTTAGCATACGATGTTTGTCAAGTCACCTTTATTTATATACCGCTTTATACAATACAGATGGTTTCAAAGCAGCTTTTCAGTGATAACAGGAAAACGATTCAATGATGCAAACAGTTCATTTCAACTGTACAGCCGAAAATAGTGTAATTGTTCAGAAAATAGTGTCATTGTTCAGCTGAAGTCAGTTCAGTGTTGATTCAGTTCCGTTGTAAAGATCATTGTGGAGGCTTTCTAATATGCTGCTATGCGGTTGATGAGGTGTTCTAGTTTGTTGATAATACCCATGTTTTTTTGCCATATACAGAATGTCAAATATCCATGCATTTAAGGTTGGCATACACACCTGCAGTCTTCCAATCGCAACCAAGCAGTATTTGCTGGTTTGACCTGCTTCCGTATCTTCATCCGGAATAGTCATGCCTGAAAAAGACACGTACACAAGAACAGTCATTTGTCCGAACAAACACCGATGTCACAATGAAAACATGTGAAGAGATAGTCACAGTTCGGCTGGCTCTAGAGTTGTCGCTGGTGACTAAACTGTTTATTCTTTTGTACTTCCTTTTTCCAATGAGACGAACTCTTGCAACACCACACCACACAAGGACCTGTTTGGGAATCTTTGCGCAAAAGATGTGATCCCACTAATAGCATCTGCTTGACAGTTTTTTCAATGTCTCCCTGAGTCATCAGAAGTTTTTTTATGCGTAATGATTGACTTTATTCATCCAAAACCAGTAGCAAGGCAGTTGCTTTTGGACGCTGCCATTTATCTGTAGTAAACGCTACATGAAGTCACGGCAGATGGAGATCAGGGCGGAGGAGCGATTCCTGTCCTGGAGTTTTGTTTAAGTAAACACAAAGCGTTTAATCTCTTTTTAATTACATTAACGATTTCTTGTTGACACACTTCCTTCTTTGCTTTGACCTCATTACGGTTGATGGCTAAAAAGCTTTTCAGGAAACAAGGGTCTTTGTGAATGCCTCGAAGAAGATACAAATCAAATACGAGAGTGAGAAAGAACAAATGAAGTAAAATACCTATAACACTTTCACAATTTATAAGATGGCTTTAAAAAGCTGTAAAAGTCTGTACCTTTATTTCCAACAGAATTGTTTTTAATGTTTTTCACACTAAATGCTATGTTTAGCTTATTTTATCCTCAAAAGAACTTTATACAAAAAAATTGGCTCAACCAATCATGTGAGTGAGGGGCGGGACTATTGGTGTGTCCAGCCAATAGAGTGCAATAGATTGCGGAAGTTAACAAAAAAATGAGCTCATTTTCTCTATAAATGAATTGATTTTGAACAATAACGTGTAAACCTTTTAAGACAGACCTACTGTGAGCTAGCTACGAGGCTATTAATTGATGTTACATGCTTTTGTTGAAGCCATTAGCCCAGATTATTTTAACATATTTTTTAAATGACAGTGTTAAACAGGAGAATCCCTGGTGAAAAACTACATTGATTCTACATTGATTCTGCCCTGAAATCTCCACCAATCAGAAAAGCTTGTAATGTTGGATGGATGGATGGATGGATGGATGGATGGATGGATGGATGGATGGATGGATGGATGGATGGATGGATGGATGGATGGATGGATGGATGGATGGATGGATGGATGGATGGATGGATGGATGGATGGATGGATGGATGGATGGATGGATGGATGGATGGATGGATGGATGGATGGAGGCATTTATATAGCGCTTTCATATGTACTACTATACACCCAAAGCGCTTTACAATCATATCAGGGGTTCTCTCCTCAACCAGCACCAGTGTGCAGCATCCACTTGGATGATGCGACGGCAGCCACAGTACAACGGCGCCAGTGCGCTCACAACACACCAGCTATAGTTGGAGAGGAGAGAGAGTGATAGAGCCAATTCAGTGGATGAGGATTATTAGGAGGCCATGATTGGCAGGGGCCAATGGGTGGAATGTGGCCAGAGCACCGGGGTTACACCCCTACTCTTTACGAGAAGTGCCATGGGATTTTTAATGACCACAGAGAGTCAGGGCCTCAGTTTAAGGTCTCATCCGAAGGACGGTGCTCTTTGACAGTATAGTGTCCCCATCACTATACTGGGGCGTTAGGTCCCACACAGACCACAGGGTGAGCACCCCCTGCTGGCCTCACTAACACCTCTTCCAGCAGCAACCTGGTTTTCTCAGGAGGTCTCCCATCCAGGTACTAACCAGGCTCAGCCCTGCTTAGCTTCAGTGGGCAACCAGTCTTGGGCTACAGGGTGATATGGGTGCTGGCGTATCATATGGTGATATGTTGTGATTCACCTCATAACTGGTTGATTTGGTTCATGGAAACTCTTTCACAAAGACTTTTAAAAAATCCCTATGGGGAAAATTAATGGGAAAAAATACTTCTGAAACCAAGGATTCTGAAGAAGTGGCCAGGCACTGTTGCACTCGATGGCAGATAGATTTCTCAAGGTTAGATGGTTTTAAACCAGTAACTTGTGATTTTGATCAATTAATTTAAAGAATCACTTTATAAGACTTCATGAGACTGTGTGTTTGTTTTTATGCGCATCCAGCAAAGAAAACACATAAATATTTACAGAATAATACATAATATAGTATGGGAAATTTATAGTCTCATTGCTATTATTTCATGGTCTGTTCCCACATTCATACTGCAAACTGTCACCTCGAGTAAAACACAACTCAATTCATCAGCGCGGCGGATGGCAGTGCAAGAAACGCTAGTTTGCTAAACGAATGACTCTGTAATACAAATAAACAGGAACAGCTGTATATATATATATATATATATATATATATCACTGTTTACTCTGCATAAATGACATTCAGGAAAAAAAACCTTCTCTACAAACAGGCTGCATACTACAGACAGATGCACCGATGTTTTGAATTAATTTAACTGGCAAAAACTGACATTATACAAGCAGACGGGATTTATTTAGTCGCATATAATAATAAAGTAATAAAAGAGCACATAATGTGTTTTGCGAACGATATGAAACTGATCAACAATCCATATCAGGAACATCTGGTGTGGCCAGAGCGCTTACTAACCATTAATGCACTGATTAACATTCAGTGTGATGAAAAAGATACAATCTTTGCTTAGATCACCACATTCCAATGTGACAGAATATTGGCTGACAATCAAGTGTTGCAGGTTATTTTTATCCTTACTTTGTGCCGTTATGCAACAAACAGGATGTTGAGCATGTGTGATTAATTTTTATGACACATACATATGGCAAATTTGTAGGAGATGTGCTCGGAGGATACCTGGAGAACCTCCAGATAAGATATGAGGCGAAAAGTTCACGTTTGGGCTTTTGAGTTTAGGGTTGCTCAATTCTCTGCTCTTTCTCTGTCTATTTTTTTCCTTTCACACAGCACACATGCTGTTGTACTAATAGGAATCTTGCGTGCTGGTGTCATATGGGAGTCATCCAAAGCTCCAGACAGTTCTGCGGACCGGAGGATTCTAACAGAATTTAGCACCAAATTCCAGAGTTCTAATAGGTCAAGGAGTTTAAACACATCTTCAATGTCTGCCACGAGGATTCAGATTGTGAGTTCCACAATACATCTGCTTGTGATTCTGATATTGATTAAGTCATAATTAACATCAAAATTACATGCAGTGATGCAAATGATTCAATAAACCAGTTCATTTACATGTATCGGGAACACAACAATAAGGTTGCATTTGTTAAAATTAGTTAAATATATTAGTTAACAATGAAAAATACATTTAGCAGATGCTCATTTCAACATCTACTAATACATTTTTAGGTCACACCTCTCACCATTTACTAACTATTAACTACGACTTTTGCCTCAAACTCCTAATTACTGTTTATTAATAGTTAGTAATGTAGTTGCTAAGTTTAGGTATTGGGTAGGAATAAGGGATGTAGAATCTGGTCATGCAGAATAAGGCCTTAATATGTGCTTTATAAGTACTAATAATCAGCCAATATCCTAGTTATATGCATGCTAATAAGCAACTAGTTAATAGTGAGAATTGAACCCTAAACTAAAGTGTTACCCATTCTTAAAATTAAAAGCTGTATCTGTTAATATTATTTAATGGACCTGAGCTAACATAAACAGTGTTGGGCAAGTTACTTTTAAAAAGTAATTAGTTACAGTTACTAGTTACTACTTCCAAAAAGTAACTAAATTAGTTACTCAGTTACAAATTTTAAAAGTAACTAGTTACTTAAGAAAGTAACTATTGCGTTACTTTCAAGTAAAATTAAATTAAAAATTAAATTAAATTAAATGCTCAAATGTGACCCCACCTCTACCCCTCTTTAACGGAACTTACAATACATGTTCAATTATTTATGATAAATCTGAATATTATAATGAAATGGACACTTAATACAATACATTATTAACAGAAACATGAAACATTGTACACACATCTAAAAAAAAAAAAAGTTGCTGTGGGACAAAGTGAGACTAGCCTCCAATCAAATGCCATGTAGATATTATGTTTATATAGTGGATCAATGCTAATAACACAATAGATGTTTTGGAACTTTTGATATTTATTGCCCCTCAACAGGCCACAACTGGGCAAAATTAAATTAAGCTTGTTAAGCTCGTCGCCATACCTGTCTATCGTTGACTGACTGGCTTGCTTGTGTTGTTCATTGTGTGTCCTGTCCTGTCCGACTATGCGTTATGATGGGTCGTTCGCAATTCATGAGCGTTAGCCGTTAGTGATGATGGATCGACTCGTTCGCGAATGAGCTTTTGATGGGTCGTTCGCGATTCGCGAATGAGGCGACTCTATTTTTACAAATTTAGCCTATAGAAATTAAATAATTATGTAAATTTATTTTTTAAATATTATAGTCAAAGTCATTTAAAGAGCCGTTTGTGAGCCAAAAGAGCCGGCTCTTTTCAGTGAGCTGAGTCAAAAGTGCCGAATGCCTACTATGCGTGCTTTCGAACACCCGCCCAACTCTACCTCTGATTGGCTTACAATGACATTTTACTCTACCTCAGTCGTCAGCATTTATGCGCTTGTCTCGTGCTCTGCCCACTAACCAAGGAAGAACAGTAAAAAAAGTATTTGCCTCTCGCTCAGAGATCTAGTTGGTCTGATGAAAAAAAAAAAACCAGCTTCATCAGTTATAGTAACGCGCCGCATTTTTTGGCAGTAACGGGAACGGCGTTATTAAGATGAGAAGAGTAATCAATTAGATTACTCGTTACTGGAAAAAGTAATGCCGTTAGTAACGGCGTTATTCCCATCACTGAACATAAACTAACATTTAAAGGCACAGTATGTAATTTTCGCCACTAGAGGTCGTATATTCAAAACAGAGTGATGTGCTAGATGCTATAACTACTACTTATGCATTTTTTCATGAGACTCACGCTGACCCGAAGTCGCATACTGTCTGAGTAGGTACTACATTTGAATTTGAATTTATTTCATGACCGTTAAAAAAGTACGCTCTATTCAGTATGAATGAAATTCAGACGTACTACATCCGCCATGTTGTCACTAGCCGCGTTTCCATTACCCTTCAAATTGCGCAAATTGAAATTGCGAATTGAAATTACGCTCAATGGAAACACGTCAATTTCGCAAAAACTCCCATTTATCGCAAAAAAGTTTTTACGCTCGCATGAGGAGGTTTTTCAGGCAATTCGAAAAAGGAATATTTCGCAAAACTGCAATGGAAACAGTTTTTGCGCATTTACAGTCACCTGACTTAGAAGACGCGGTGTGTTTGGGGTCCGTCCGTGGTATACGCAAATAATAATGGGCTAATAATTATCATCATTATTATAACATTTATTAGGCTACATATTTAGAAGATGCTTTTATCCAAAAAAAGGAACAAAGCAATTCGTCAAATGTCATTCATAATGGTTAGACAATAATAATACAGGGCTAAGATTATCACAAAGAAACACAAGATTTTGACGCATATCCAAGTGTTTGTGCAGAGTGTGGAGCGCGCGCTGCAGGCAGGGAGACGCGGGCGCGAACACTTGCGTTTTCCTATCAACAGTGAAAACAACTTAAAATACTCTATAATTTCTGGTCATACAGAAAATAATAATACATTATTCGCAACTATGCTTTTATTTGTGTAAACTCAAAATAACAAGAAAACGTTGTGCTTTTGTAAAATAAAATAAAACAATCATGCGCGCTTTCATGATCTCCGTGAAAAAAGCTAAAGCTTGAAATGTCCACTTTAAAACGAACAAATTCGAATCGAAAGCTAATACCTTCTGATTATGTAATCCGTATGAAAGGTGCATTTCTCTCTAAAGGTGCATTCGCGCGGCGCGCCTCAGCGGAGATGGAAATGTTTTTAGCCGACACTAATTTAGAAAACAAGTTTATTAATAAAATTAAAATGCCTCGTTATTCTTTCAGACACATTTATTATCATTAGCCTATAACTCACCTAAATCACCTTTCTGTAGGCTGTGGTTCCAGAGACATAGGCCTAAATATGGCTCTTCTCATTCAGCACTGCGGGAAAAATATAATTTTCAGGTTCTAATTTGGCCTTAGAAAACCATTAAAATCTAAAAAAAAATTGTATTAAGTTGGGAATATTTTAAATGTTTAGTAAAGGGGCAAAAAGTCATAAACAAACATCTGAAATTTAGTCGATTTTTTTTTTCCGCAGCATTTGTGTACAGTTTAAATTAAAAAAAAAAAATTGGTGTTCAACTTTGCATTTAAAAAAAAACAACCACCGTTCATTTTTCGTTTTGCAATACGGGTTAAATAAGGAAAAACGAATGGACACAAATGTACACTGACCGTTTGGACAGAGTTCTTTATTAAATTCATAAAAGAAACAATAGGCTACAGGAATACTGGATTCTAAACCTCAAAGAAATGCCACAATCAGACCTCGGAGCAGAAATGAGGGAGAAACACCCAGAAACTCCTTATGCCGTTCGCAGTATACGGGTCTTTCCCTGCCATTAATGCTTGGATAACACACCACGTCTCCTTCCATTAATAATAATGTCTAGTGTGGTGGTGCGGTGGCTGTGATATAGGGATATAGGCTATAAACCTACCCGTTGATGTTTAAATTACTTATCGCGAGAGGGGAAAAAGTCGCATAACATCAGTTAATGGAAACGCCGTCATTTCGCAATAGTTTTTTATCGACATTTAGAAAAAATCGCAAAAGTTTTGCGCAAATCTGTAATGGAAACGCGCCTAGTGTCACATGACCTACCAGCATCATTTGTGTTGCTTTACTTCCATTCATAAATTCCCTTCTGTGGCCTCATGGGATAATAAATGGTCCATCAAATGCGTACTTCACAATCTTGCCGGAAGTAGTAAGTCATCCGGCGACTTTTCGCCAACTGTTTTTTCAAATACTATGTATTTTTTGGACATACTACTTTTTTGGCATACTGTTTTTCGCAAACTATATAGTAGGTAAGTATTCGATTTTGGATGCAGCAACACTGTGTTGCCATGGTTTCTACGGCAGTAAAAGCGGAAACAGAGGATCAAGCGGACATGATGGCATTGACAGTTGATGCATTGAGGAGGGACGTTACACTGGATAAATCCAGAGAAATTTGCAATTTTAACCATATTGTATTGAATGTATTGCTCATTGTTAGTTAATGCATTACGTAATATTAATTACCAGGATCTTATTGTCAAGTGTTACTCATGTAAAAAAAAAAAAAATCAATAGACTAAAAAATTCTTTTAAAATAAGTACACTAGCATATAGATTAGCATCAATTGATTTCATGGGTTCTTTTAGCTAGTTACTCCACAACACCGTTACACTTCTGAGTATTTGTTTGTGTCTCTCAGAATTGTTTGTGTATTTGTTAGTTTCTCTCTGATTCAGTGGCTTTGAACTGAAAGAGATGCGAGCGTGTTTGTGTACGTACCCGCTGGCGGCCAGGCCTTGATGTAGCCAGTACAGTGCACAACAGAGTACTGAGCCTCCCCCTCCTTAGATGGGCCAAGACCATTTCTGCGAAAACAAAGAGAGAGACAAAGAGAAATGAAACAAACAAAACATGTCTGGTATTCGTGTTTGGTACATTTAAGTTGGCATTCAGGTCATATTAGGATAACGGTCTGCAGGATCTGATTTGGAAAGCCGGCACAAACCTCAGCAAAAATGTTCCCTTTAGCGTTTCACATCAAAATATAACACAGAAGCACAACAACATGGCTATCTGCAAACATCAAGATTATTTCAGTTTTGCTTTTCCAAAGTTTGTATTTTAATACCATCTTCAAATCACTTTCGTTGAAAAGTTTGGGGTCAGAAAAGTCTCTTTTGCTCAGCATGGTTGCATTTATTTGATCACAAATACAGTAAAAACAGTAATATCATGAAATATTATTACAATTTCAAATAACTGTTTTCTATTTGAATATATTTTAAAATGCAATTTATTCCTGTGATGCAAAGATGAATTTTCAGCATCATTATTCTTCAGGGTTCATGGTCACATGCTCCTTCAGAAATGATTATAATATGCTGATTTGCTGCTCAAGAAACATTTAATATTTTTGTGAAAACTGTGATCATTTTTTTCAGGATTCTCTGATGAATAGAAAGTTCAAAAGAACTGCAATGAATTGTAGTACTGACACAATTAATTTTCTGCATTTTAAAATTGAAAATGTATTTTTTTTTCTAAATGTTTTTTCATACATTTATAAAGGGTTTTATAAATACGTTGGTACCAAAATGTATGGCAAAATTAAGTAACTTATTAAATGAATTTACAATATGTGCAAATTAATTTTAATCTTACGCCTATAATATGATGAAAACAGCTTTGTTAATGTTTCTTGTCCCGTCACATTGACAGTTATGAATTACATTACACGATTCACGTAAATTATACAGTATATTATCAATTCAAAATGTTGATATTAGACAAAAGTTTATTAGTTTGCATCCTTGATTATTTCTGTTGATCGTTTAAAATTTTTATTGTAAAATATCTGTAAAATATTACATTTTTAGTTTAGCTACGTGCATCTTATCTTGCACTTTTATGACCTGAAGCATCACGCTGGAATTTGCGCTCAGAAGCTTCTGTTAACATAAAGCCCACCTACTTTCATTTGATTTGTCATCTCAAACATTTTGACATTGACGAGCGCAATCTGACTGCTGAGGCAGCTCAGGTGAGAAGGGTAGTTATCTTGGCGTTGTGCATTATCCTTGCAGCACTAGGGTAGAGTTAATACTGGCCAATTATTTCTATAAGTCTTACTATATACTCCTCAGAAAAATACAGAAGTCTGGACATTAATGGTGGGTATACACACAATCTCCTTAGGAACCAAAATAAAAAAAAAGCAAGGGGAAACCAAATCTTCACAATATCCATAAACCCGGAGTCAGACTTTTTTTACTCAATCCATTAATACAAAGAACTTTGTGTGCCTTTCTCATAATGTTCTTCATGCGCTCTGTGCACAATCCCCGCCTCCTGTCAAATCAGCCAAGATTAGTCTTAGTTATTCCATTTAATTTGCTATAATTCATTCATTTCTGTTTAATTAGCTCAACTAGCAGAGCATGGTGCTAGCTACGCCATGGCATTTACCTTGAATGAATTATTGAATTCTTGTTTATGAGCTCAACTGGTTGAGAGCATTGCGCAAGCAACACCAGATCATTGGTTCGATTTGGGTTCACAATCCAAGTCAGTTTGGATAAAGCATCTGCAAAATGGGTGAATTGAAATATTCAATATTTCTTTTGTTCAAGATGTATTATCCAACAACATCCCTCATCTACTTGGCACTCCTCTGTGTTTTGTGAACTGTACGACAGCCCTTATTCATTTTTGCATAAAAGCTTGACACACGTACGCCATTTATCATTTAGACATCTGATATGTACTTTTCTCACAGATGTTCCTGGAAGAGGTGATTCCTGCATTCCAGAGCTGTTATGGCCCGCAAAACACACAGCGCTGCAAGTTTGATGCAGACAAACAACATGCCTGTTGTGGAGAGGAGGGCAGTGGGTTCAACATCAGGGGTCAAAGGGTGAATTTCCGGAGGAATGAATAGGAACATTGGCGTTACATTCTCAGGAACAAATTCTAGGAAATTTCTTGAAGAAACAAAACTCCTAGAAGTCGTTCCTAAGAATGTAATGCCAACTGTCCTAGTTGACAAACTGAAGCCGAAAAGTGCCGCAAGACAAAGTGCGATTCCCAGATAAGAATTTCTGTAATTGGGCCTGTTTACACCTGGTCACTTAATGCATTTTTACTGATCGGATAGTAGATATCTGATTTGTTCAAACGGTTCCATTTACACTTGGCCAAATAAATGCGTCTCTGCAAAAAGAATATAAATCCAAATCAAATTCCCGCACGACATTTACGTTCACGTCACTGAAAGCAACAGATATGCGCTTATTTTATTTATCATCAGCTAATTTCAAGATCAAGGAACGCAATAGGAGAAAATGCGGCATCAGCACTGGTAAGATCATTTAGTTTCACTACGTTTAATGAAGACGATTGTGTGTTGAGCGTCTGCGACTTAATTTCAGTTTTATTTGCGCCTTGGTTTACTGAAGAGATGCTCAGCTACTCATCTGCAGCGATGCATGTTGCAGTAGCGCTGTCATATCTGGCTATAAAATGTCATATACACCTTGCATTTACAAGTGTCCAGTTTCGTCTGGAATGCGTCTCAGACCACTTCCTGAAGTGGTTTGAGTGATCGGATTTAAATCTGTCTCGAAAGCGTTTCGGAGGGCATTTACACTTGGTATTTTCATGATCGGATAGCTACCCGATCAGAGGAAATGCATGAAGTGACCAGGTGTTTCTTTCATGACATTGGGTATGTGGAATTGTATGTTGTTATCTATGTATTGTATAATTATATATGGTCTCTGGTAATGTCTTTGTTTTTACCTGCCTGGGACTATGGATGTAAATTAGCAATGTTGTTATAATCCGGCATGTTTACATTTTGTATTTTATACTGATGTTCATTAACATGCATTGCCCCTAATAAACAAACAAATAAATAAGAGTAAGGTCAAACATAACAATTGAATTAGTAATGCTAAGTACTACTGCATGAGTTATATTGTGAATTAGAGGATGTTGGTTAATACAGTAGGGTTAAATAACTGCAGAAATGGGTGCAAATTTAAGATTTGAAAACTTCATACCTGTATCTCTTTCTCATGCTAGACAACCGATTCAGTGAGATATGATCCAATGGTGCACTGCCACACCTAGAGAAACAATTAAAAACAGTTAATTTCTCATCATAAATGAAAAAGAACACAAATATTTTTTTTGTTAAACATTAAAGTTCGGAAACCTCAACTTAATTAGAAGCTTTTATGTAAAAAATATCTATATAAAATAGGGCTGTCAAATGATTCATCGTGATTAATCACATCCAAAATAAAGTTTTTTTTACATAATATATGTGGGTGCATTGTGTATAATTATTTTATATATATAAATACACACACATGCTTGTATATATTTAAGAAATATTTTCATGTATATACTGTATATAGATTTATATATAATTTATATTATATATAAATATAAATATTTTATATATAAATTATATTTTTTTCTTAAATATACATGCATGTGTCTGTATTTATATATATACAAAATAATTATACACAGTGCACCCACATATATTATGTAAAAAAAAATATATTTTGGATGCGATTAATCGTGATTAATCATTTGACAGCCCTAATATAAAAAGATCAAAGTGTGGTACTATCAGCAAAGAAAATTCATTTTAAATAATATGTACTCAGAGAAAAACTGGAAATTAATTTAACAAATTAGACAAATAATTAGACAGATAATTAAATTGTTTTGTTAAACTTTAAAGTTCGGAAACCTCAACATAAATATGATACGCTATGGCACAAATGATCACTTACAATTAAAAAAGATTTTAACATTTGTATGTTAATAAAAAAAGATTTAAAAAATATAAAATATAAAATTCAACTGTGACAATCAGTAAAGAAGATGCAGATTAAATAATATGTCCTCAGAGTTTGCATTAACCAGAAAGTAATTTAACACATTTAAAAAGAAAGGCAAAGGCATAAATGTTTATGTGATTCTTACAACCCAGTTCATTATTATGACTATAATATAGATTGTTTTTTTTAGATAGAATATTGGTACTTTACAATAAGGTCTCATTTGTTAAATTAGTTTTAACAATGAGCAATATATTTTTTACAGCATTTATTAACCTTTGTTAATGTTTGTTTATAAAAAATAATCATGTAAGTTCACAGTAACTAATGTTAACAGATACATAAAATGTAGTAGTAAATGTTGAGCTTAACATTAACTAATGTAATAAATGCTCTAAAAGTTTTGTTTATTCTTAGTTAATGTTTACTAATGTAGTTGACTAATGTTAACAAATGAACCCTTACTGTAAAGCGTTACCAAGATATCTAATATTCTAATTACCATACACGTCTATTAGGACTATATCGATCTACTGTTATCTTGTGAATCCAGCTAGTAAAGACAATACGAGTGACCTGAGATCCCTTGACACTGTTGAAGGGGAAAATAGTTCACATCTGTTTTAACTTGAGCTGTTTATCCTCCACAATCATTTCCATTAGACCTGGCATGACAAAGTCTGTTGTCCCTCAGGTCTTTGTCAAATAGTTTGTCAAGTGTTCATGAATGCAAGGTATGCAAATAAACAGCACATACATTTTTCGATCACAACAAGAAAGTAAACGTCCTTCAGAGTGGAGTCATGATGTCTAATAGTGCTCAGATAAACCATTGCATAAAAACTTTTAAGAATGACGATCATGTTTTTAAAGGGGTTCTGTTTATCTCAAGTGGTTTTTTATACACACTTGACAAATGCGCTCATCCGCTAACATGCGGTTTCAATTACTTAGACAGCCACAAATAGAAAACATTAAACACATTCTTGATATTGCAAACTCTCATATTTATGTGCTGAATGTAGCACAAAGACATATGAGGCCTAATCATACGTCATGTCGGAATTTGCTCGTCATGGTTTATATCTTGACTTGAACTAGCAAGGACATTCGGGAAATGCATGTTTCCATCTGTTGTTAAATCTGGACCGTTTCAAAACAACATTATGAATGAAAACACCTTTTAAACATAATGCGGGAAGGACAGGAATGTTCAGAAACAACAACAGTCTTGGTTTCTGCCTCATTGCTAAAATAAATCCTATTACGAATGCATTTTATTGTCTTAAAAGTCATGCAGGCTTTAAACTGTAACAGAAAAATTATATTGTTATGATCAGAATCTTGGATAAACAGGGAAATACGTAAAGGATCAACACAAAACATAATTGAAGAGCATTTTACAAGGGAAACATGCAGACAGTCTATTAATGTTGTGCAGATTGATAATAGTGATTCCACAACATTTTTGTTCGAGTAGATAGTAATTTCAGGCCGAAATAAACGTGTGTGGATTTATTTATAAGCAGTGATATACATTTTAACGCCACACCACAAGAAATAGTCCAACCTGATAAAAGTTCTAAAAGGTATCTGAATAAAAAATAAATAAAAAAGGAAAAAAAAGGCCATATCGTTTCTTGAGAAGACTAAACTCTACCATAACCAGTCCTGATTCTTAAAGTCACCATGAAATTAAAACGGACAATTCTTAGATTTATGGAATATTTGCAGTATTTATTATAAATAATTTATCTGTGCAATTTTTTTTTAAATCACATGCCTTGTAATTTTAATCAAAATAACTTCCCCTCCCTCTTACAGTGACATCTCTTCTCTTCTCTGATGATGTGTTTACTGGTGTGAGGGCGGGACAAACTGTCACTCACATGAGATCAAAGAATAGCGAAACAAAACCATCCAATCAATTTCCCATGGACAAATCAAGTGCCGCCCTACATTTTTGCTTGTTCGAGAAGTCGTTTCACTCAGATAAACATCAAATTGGGAAGAAAAGACCATCACACCTTCCTTGAAGTCATGCTGACTTTAACCACGACACCATACCACCCCGTGTGATTATGAGATCTGTGAGCTCATTGAGACTGTCACTGTACCTCATTCTGCAGATGAAGGAACGTCTGGATCCCATACACATTCTCATAGAGGATTGCTGTCCTTCCTTCTTCACCGTCCCCGTCTTTAGGTCCAGAATACGCCCTGGATATGCATTAAAATGTATAAACACAATAACAGAAATAAAAGAGAAAACACGAAATAGATTAAATTAGGAATGGTTATCATTTCAAATGGCATATTTTGTGGTACAGTACTCTAACAAAATCACTTGAATTACCTGAAAATTTAAATGTTTTATTTACAAATGTTAGATCGCCAAAAAGATAACTCAAATATTTATATACACTACTTGTCAAAAGTTTGGTATATTTTTTTTTTTTTTTTTTATTATCAATGTTCAAAAGCTTATATTTTCAACTGTGCTTAATAATATAAAACCATGCTTCATTTTGTTGTCAGAATTCTTTAATGAATAGAAAGCATGAATAGAAATGAACAGCATTTATTTGAAATATAAGTCTTTCGTAACATTATAAATGTCTTCACTGTCACTTTTGATCAATTTAATGCGTCCTTGCTGAATGAAAGTGTTTATTTCTTTCTCTCTTTTTTTATTTTACTTACCCAAAATTTTGAATGGTAGTGTATTATGGTTTCCACAAAAACATTAAGAAGCACAACTGTTTTCAGTATAAGAAGAAATGTTTCTTGAGCAGCAAATCACATGACACCTAAAACTGGAGTAATGGCTGCTGAAAATTCACAGAAATACATTACATTTAAAAATATATTTAAATACAAAACATTTATTTGAAAACATTTCGCATTATATTATAGTTTATTACTGAATTTTCATCAAATAAATGCAGACTTGGTGAGTATAAGAGACTTCTTAAAAAAAATATATATATATATTTTTTTTTTACAATTCATACCAATAAATAAAAAAATACACTTCAGGAGTACTGAAAATTAGATGTAGATGCCACTAGGGTTATGCACATGTAAAAAGGTTACCACATTTTTGGTTTCACACACATGTTCTCTCAACCATTAAGGTGTATCATCATCCATTGGGTACATGATTATATCAAGGACCACATATACGTGATCAAAATATTGCCACACAACCTGCAAAAATCATATAAGGCCAAGGCACTCGAGAACTTGTAAAAAATAAAAAGCCTTTATTCATGGCTATAACATTTTTAAAAACATTTACATATATCCACACCCCAACGCGTTGCGGCTAATACGCCTTCATCCCTGGATGCACCTGCTATCAACTCATATCACTTCAACATCACGCATCCACAATGCCACCCAGCACATTTAGCGTTAAAGATACGATTTTTGTGAGCGATTTAGCTGGGCTATTTTTTATTGTGTATTTGCCTGCCGTAGGAAACAAAGGAAAAGCTATGTGTGTTACTCGTTTTTACTTAACTATTCGTACACATTCCTAGTTTAAATCATTACCATGATGGCCTCAATTTCCAAACTACGTTTCTAAGATACCGCAGTAACAGTTCACAGAAGTGCATTTCCCGGGCTCTTCAATCCTGATGCACCCCATAACAAACAACAAATGTGCCCACAAACACCCACAGATGCACGGTAAATGTTGTGATCGTTCACTGCTACATCATCTGCTCGATTATACGGCACAGAAGACTGGCTAAAATAATCAAATCACAACAATTTTAAAGTTGTTTTTCCCCATCCAGCACAGCTAGAATAAGGGAGGAACACAATCCAAAGCTGCCAAAAAATGTTATTGGCTTAACAAAACACCCACAACAATATTCAAAGCGTGAGCTATACTTCTCGGAATGCTGATACCTAGGACAAAAGCTCAGGATTATTGAAGCCTGAAGTTATTTCCATAAACAAATTAGCTGACATGCCTTTCAGCAGAGAAGAAGCGGTCTCCGAACTGATCCAGTGACAGCTGCGAAAGCCCTCAGGAGCAGATCTAATTGTCGGGAAGTCTTTCCAGTCTGAAGGACAGACGCCAAGAACGTTGAAAGCATTTAAAAGCTATTAATACTCTTCTCCAAGACGGATAACAACACAGCCACTCAATAAGTTCAAGAACATCAAGAAAGAGGCCCTTCGTAGTTGTTGTTGTACAAACAATTGGGTGAAAAAACAGATGGAGATGATAAACAAACCTGGACTATGATCGTAAATCATCCAGATGGCGACCCACTGCCCTGAGTAGAGCCGCACGCTGCTACCAACAACCCAATAACACAGAATAGGTCAGACATGTTGTAATATCAGCCTTTCAACAAGGCAAACCTCGCTGGAAATGGGAAATATATTTCAAACGCTAAAAGGTTTTTCAAGGCCAATATAATAACAGTTTAGTGATGTCAAATTAGACAGGAATTTTTCCACAATGACCTCGCGGCCTGCCCAACGTTAAACTTTTTTTTTTACTTTCTGACTTCTTCAAGCGGTCAAAATGGGATTTTGTGTGAAGTAGGATGCCAAAAAATTGTGATAAAGTGCCAACACTAAGTTTGGCACTGAATGCTTCAAGATAACACAGGAAAGTAACGAAACATCAGGGCACCATGTGTATTTTCACCGTATTTTTATTTTAAGAGTGGGTGTGGCCATTTTTAACATGTCTGGCTTCCAGTTTCATCTGCTTCCAGTTATTTTAGCTGTACAAAAAGTCTATTATGCAGCTTAATATTGAAAACTGGTATTCAAGATTCAAGATTCAAAGATTAAAAAAAACTTTGTCTATCAGCTAGTGATAAAAAATTGTCGTAATTACAAAACACAATAGTTTGTAGTGCAAATAGTTCTACAGTTTACTGCACTTTGATATTCTTCTAGGTATATAGCGGCTAATGAATCGAAAGTCTCGCACATTCACTGAAAATAGCTTACTTCTGCATTGCAAAATAAGGTTGATACAGGCAAGCAGATAAGCCCAGAATATGAACACAACATTGTAAAATGTAAGTACAGGTACAGTTTTGTACAAGTAAAATAACTGGAAGAGAATGACACCAGAAGCCACATTCAAGTAACAAATGGCTGCACCCACAACCTGGTAAAAAATAACTTATATTCAAGCCATGACCTCATAAAAGCCATTGACAGGTTTTACAGTAATTCTCTTTGACCGCATCTCAATCAGTCTTCTTGTTTGCACTGGTATGAGTAAGTGCTAGTCATATATGCATGGTGATTTGCTGTTTTGAAGACCGGCGTGGGTTTGGATGACCGTTCCTCAGCCTCCTGCTTCCCAAAGCAGAGCTCAGCAGGTGGCGTTTGCTTTGGAGCAGGTTCCCTGGACGCTTCTACAACGGAGAACTTTAGTTGATCTTTGAAGGACTCCAACAGCAGGCATGGGAACATCACCTCCTGACGACGAGCATGACTCCTCCAACTTCAACTCCGTGACCACCTGAAGGGGATCTAAGGACAACACTTGGAGGAATGAGGAAATGTTAGCCAGAACTCCCAGATCGGTCCCAGAACCACAAGGACGTCCAAGCAAAATCCCCAAATCCTCTGAGAAGAAAAAGGCACAATGTGGAATCTGGGCAAAGGCCCGTTTCATTAGCATTACAGAATGCATAAAGGGCCGCGCCGCACATATATATCCCATTTTTGCCACACAGACTCCATTGTTTCTCCTCTGTGGGCAAGTGTTTCATTATTATTCTAAAAATGAACAAAGCAACAAAAAAAATGGCAAATATCCCAGGCCACCAACCACAGCCAAGCTAAATATTTAGGCGGCAGTCGCCTTCGACAAGACTGTCGTAGATGGAAGGACAAACAAATAGTGTTGCCAGAGAAATAATAGCTGTCCTTCAAGGATGTATCCGAATGGAAATTTAAGCACGTAATGAGAATGTTATCTTCATCAGCAAAGTATGTTTATAAAAATAAACTCAGGAAAAATGGGTCGGTTTAGTCATCGACTAAAGAATGCTCTTTTGAGATTAAGTCCTGTTACACTGTTTGAAGGCACTCTGAAATGGTTTTTGAATTTGGAAATCATATTTAATTTCCACAGAGAATTTCATGTTGCTTGAATCTGTAACCTTAAGGAAAGCTGTATTCTGTTATTCTTTCATTTATATTCAACCATCATTCCATCAATCCATGCATTCCCTGGGAATACACATTGTGATGTTGGCAAACGCTTGCACCATGCTTTACAAACAATAATACATATATTATTATTCAAATCAGCCGCTTTCTCATGTATTTGCAGTTATTGTCTTAAGATTAGTCATTCGTTTTCATGCCATGTTACAGCTCATAGCTCAGAAAACTTGTAAACAGGTTAGATACGTAAGCTACGGGCAACAAAAACAAATTTGATCATTTTTTGCATGTCGCAATGCTCGCTTAAATAACTGATGGGAAAATATTTCATTTTGTCACCATGAAGATGAATTGCATTGTAAAAATTCTGATAGTTCAACAGTTTTTGTGACTCATGGCATTATGTGCATAACTAATGTTATGTAAAAATGTCTCTAAATGGCAGAAATGCCTTCCGTGGGCCATTCATTACGCTTTATAATACACATTAGGATCAGTTTTATGTGCCAGTGAAACATGGTAATACTTTTCTATTAATAGTTACAGCTTTAAAAAGTATAAAGCATTAAGATCAACTCTTAATCTGATGTCTCATGTGTTATTTATATTATATTATGTTTTGCAATTCAGAACACTCTTTAAAAGCATAACCATTAATGGGTTATAATGCATTTTAACAGTGATTACGAAACATATAATGTGTTGTATATAAAATCACAATGCATAAAGAATTGATGTAAATTTAAAGTATTTTGATGCATTACATATGCAGGCTTCATGTAAAGCTTTCCATGCATATATGAATATGTATATGAGACAAGAACAGATTGTGTAGTTTCACACAGGTGTGTTGTGTGGTCTGATGGATGGTGTACAAGATCTCACTGATGTGTCCAGCCATCATTTCCCACTTCAGGGGTAAACATACACACAAACGCACACGCACGCACACACACACACACACACACACACACACACACACACACACACACACACACACACACACACACACACACACACACACACACACACACACACAGAGCAGCTCAAATCACTATTAATCAATTATGTATGCAGAGCCAACTCTTAACATTCCAGCACAGAGAACACATTAGTGGAGCATAGTTTGAGGAGACGTGGAAAATATCTCCCTTGGCCGCTTCATTTGATCGCTTTACCACTAAAATATATGAGGTTATCAAAACCTCATCAAGAGCGCCATATTTTAACCGCAATATTTTATCTGGACCTTCAGCAAGAACGGAATTGCAAGTTTCTTTGATGGGAAAGGAAATTCCTTACAACCCTTTTCTATACATCATGTAAAATGTACACATTTTACATAACGTATAGTGGTGTCCAACGTCTGAGATCACCGACAAAAATGACACAAATATTCATTTCAAATTGCCATTCAAAGGTTTAGGGGGAAAATATATATATATAGTACATATACTGTATATTTTTTTTTATATATTTTTTTTTTAGAAGTTCTATCAACATACTCACCCTTAAGTTGTTATAAACCTGAAGGAGTTTCTTTCTTCTGTTGAACTAAAAAGAAGATATTTTGAAGAATGTTGGTAACCAAACAGTTGACAGAAGCCATTGACTTCCATAGTAGAAAAAAAAAAAAAAAAATAGTATGGAAGTCAATGGCTACCGTCAACTGTCTGGTTACCAACATTCTTCAAAATATCTTCTTTTGTTTTCAACAAAAGAAAGAAACATAAGGAATCATACAGGTTTAGAACAACATAGGGGTGAGTAAATGATGATCTTTGGATGAACTATCCCTTTAATACTTTTATTCGCAAGGATGCATTAAGGTGATTAAAAGTGACAGTAAAGACATTTCTAGTGTTAGAAAATATTTCTAATTCAAATAAATGCTGCTCTTTCTATCCATCAAACAGTTTCCACAAAAATATGAAGCAGCATATTTTATAACTGTGTTCAACATTGATCATAAGAAATGTTTCTTGAGCAGCAAATCAGCATTATTATAATGATTTCTGAAGGATCATGTGACACTGAAGACTAAAGTAATGATGCTGAAAATTTAGCTTTGCATCACTTCTGTCAAAAACATTTTAAAAAGTGTTACATTTACATATTAAAATGAAAGAAATCTCAGTTTTCCAATGTGGTCTCAGATTTTCGGCTCCCACTAAATAGCCACCAGGAACATGATAATTTTCATATTACAGACAAACACATTAGTGTGTTTCATGTCACAGCCAAACCACAGGAAGCTAGATGTGCTGAATACAATTACACAACTAAAATCATACAGAGATGAATACAGATGCCTCTTTGCATTTAAAGTGAATCCTCAGAGTTCTGACAGCGCTCATATTACTGTGGTGAGTAACAGCAGACACTTTGACCCCGAGTCTGATTTAAATGTGGTCCGAGCCACATCAACGACCGGTCCTCTCAAAATAATCATCATCTCACGACTGGTTGGCATAATGAACTGTGACAATGCCCTGCTCGCACCTTGTCTGACTGTAGAGACATTTTATTACTTAGGTGGATATTATCATACGGCTCACTGAAACTTTTTAATAAAGGGAAAACCAGACAAGAACGACAAAAGGGCTGTGAGAGACCGAGACCACACTGGATCATTCCAACTGTCACTATAATTCAATTATAAAGTCATTGCATGCTTCAGGAGGTCAGCGTTTCAGGGTAATTATCGTATACTAAAACTAAAAACTATCTTTTATGTAAAACTATGTTTGAAACATACAATTTCTGCAGTTATTATGTGTAAAGTATACAAATGTTCTGTATGAATGGAATACCTAGATGAACTATACAAGATTTGGAGTAAAACAAAGCACTATCTGGGGAGAAAACCGTTTCCCACAATTTAATGCACTCAACTTGATGGTCCATTTCCAATGAACTAATGGAAAAAAAATTCAGCCTCGATTTTGACTCGTTATTTGATCTCTACAAATATTCAACATATTTCTTAATTATACATATTTTATATATAGGAATGCCTATATAGGAATCAGGGAATGCCTGAACTGATGAAATGCACAGCTTGAATGTAATATAAGTCGCTTAGGATAACAGTGTCTTCCAATGCATAAAAGTAAAAAAAAAAATGGTTAAAATATAAATTTGTCTTTTATATAAAAGCTGAACTGATACTAACAAAGTCTTAAACCTGAAAATACTATTAAAAATAAAAACCAAAAAGGCAACACTACAATAACCTTGCCATTGCATATCTGATGTTAAGAGGAATATCTCACAGATTAGGCTATGCGTTTAAAATTAACATTTGAGTCCCTCCAAATTTTCATCCGCATTTCAATGAGGATGAGATAGAAAGATTTCCCACAGTAAAAATGTTTTTTTTTTTTTCTGTATCTGAGGAGAATAATTCATCTTGTGGTTTATAAAAAAAAAAACGTTGTGGGTGTTCACAAAGAAGAAAAGAGGCTGTGTTTGCTGTATGTATGTAGCGCCATCTAGTGGAGAAACATTTACTGTGAGCAAGTTCAACTTATTTAGAGTATTTGAGGACATGTGCTTCATTCAATAAGCATGTATCTGTTTTGCACGGAGGTAAAGCCTTTGATCTTCCTATAAAATACAAAGAAAGTTTAGTTTGAAAATAAGTTTAGTTTGAAAGGTTTAAAATAACTTGCATTAAAGGTGCTGCAAACTATTTTGGAGACTACTATAGAGAAAATGCCCTATCTATCTGACAGATATCACTGAAAAAGTTGTCTTGAGAAATCACTAGCCTCTGCAATCAACAAAAAGAGCATGGAGAGCGGTCCGCCCAAACAGAAACCCTCTTTGCCTGTGAATAAATGTGCATGAGCGAGGTCTTCAACTGCAATTAAGATGAATGGGAATGCTGATGGATGGCTTTCTCTTGATATTATACAACTCCTTGTGTGGTTGGGAGAATAGAAAAACAAACTAAACTTAAGCACCTGCCCAAAAAATCTGATCTAATCTTTATCTAATATACAACAATCATTTGGACACTCCGATAAAAAAAAACAGTACATTTTTAATCAAAGCCATCTTGAAGATAAATTGAGTTTCATTGGTTCTATAATGAAAAAAGATATATACTGTTTTCTAAAAAAAATGCTCTCCATCAAAGTCTTATGGAAAGATTAAAAAATTAAAAAGGTAATTGAGACTTTTTATCTCAAAAATCTGACTTTTTCCCTCACAGTTGGGGGTTAAAATTCCAAGAAAAAAAAAGTCAGAATTGTAAGATATAAACTCGGAATTGCGAATTGCCTAAGCATCTGTCTATGATTAAATAGCCCCCCCCCCCCCCCCCCCCCCCCCCCAAAAAAAAAAGATGGGTCGTGCAACCTCACTATGATATTTATCATTTACAGAGTGAGTTTGCCAGAGTCAAAGTCAAAGTCCTGACCTCTGTGATGAGATTCAAACAAAGCAAATTTTACACAAACAAACCATTTTTTGTTTAAATGAATAATCTGTACTTGAACATTACAGTGCAACATCTGCATACGCTCATCCATTTACCTCAGCATTGTTAGCCTTGAATGCCTTTCATACATTTAAGTTCACTGAATCCTTTGGCACTAAACTCATTTTAGGATTCTGATCATGTAAGCACTTGTTTTGCTTTTATTTTCAAAACAATCTTAAAATGAAAAGCAAACTTTTTCAGTTATGTTCTAATACAAAGTTCATTAGCTCGATTTTCAACTGTTTGTTCAAACTTTGAATGCAAATTGCCATAAACAAGCAGCAGTTTGTTAGAAAATCTCACAGTTGATTAAAGTTACCGCTGACTCGCTCTCGCCTCAAATACTAATGAGGTGTCTGAATGTTCCCTGCGGAGAAATATTAAAGAGGACATATTCAGCACTTGCTGAATAAGTGGACATCTTTGATGTTCACTTAAAATGCATTAGAAATTTGCATAAAAAAATAATAAAATGGTCTTAATTTACTTCTAGCCTTGTGTCTTTCTCAACCCTGTTACTTATATTGATGCTCTCCATATATCATAAGCCAATCACACTTAAGACTTAAAACAATATGGCCCCTTTTTACTGATCTGAGGCAGATAAAAACAATATATCATGACACACAGAGTATGAGTAGGAGAAGACAAACTGCTCACTGTATGTATATGTGAAAACACACACACACACACACACACACCCACATTGGGTTTCCATGTTTTATGGGGACCTTCCATAGACATAATGATTTGTATACTGTACAAACTATATTCTATCCCCTAACACTAGCCCTAACCCTAGCAAAGAACATCATTCTTTGAAATGACAATAAAAAAAAAATCCCCCACAAGGACAAGGATTTTGGATATTGCTATCTTTGTGGACACACACACAACCACCATTTAAAATGCTGTGGTCAGTAAGATAAAAAATAAATAAAAAAGAATTAGACCTTTTATTCAGCAAGGATGCACTGAATTGATCAAAAGTTATAGTAAAGACAGTAGGTAGTAAATTGCAAATGACAACACACAGGTTGTAGGCACCAAAAATATGAATTGCCAGGAATTCACCCAGACTGGGATGGAAATGTGTTGGATCAGCTAATTCCAAACAGCTGAGTCTGACACCATGACTAAAGCTTGACATCTATGGTAGCCATTGTCTAGCAGTTAGTGCTCGTGCTCCGGACATGTTGAGCTGCGGCACTGAAGCGAGAGAAGCATCTTTCAGTAATAAGTGTCTGTCTCTCACCTGTCATTGAATTCTCAGATGTGCTCAGCTGTTCCCTCAGTTTGTCCACGTCATCTGGATGGACCTGCTCATAGAGCGTGCTGCCAAACCACTCGGCCTGCGGATGGTTCAGAACAGGAGTGACAGAATCCGACACGTAGATGACACGACCCGTCTCAGCCGCCACCACGAACAAGAAGCCGTCTGCCGCCTCCAGAATCAAGTGCTTCAGTTCCTGAGACAGCAAATAGAGTTTCAAATGACGTCTATAGGACTTTCAAGAGACATTTAGAGTATATATATATAATGCCTTGATTTTCCTATTTAAACAGTGTTTTGTTGCACATTTTGTATATATTTGGGTCTATGCAGTTCATGGTAATATTAACCCTGTACAGCAGGGCTATTCAATTAGCTTCATTCGAGGGCCGGATTATTAAATCGAAAAGTTGAGGTGGGTTTAGCTTATTTATTGAAACATAACAGTATCAATAAGTAAGCTAAAGTAAACAAAACAAAAAAAAGTATTGCATTTACTTGGAAATGTGGTACCCAACAGTATGCAGACCATAATAAAATAACTTATTTACAGCTATGTACAAATATATGAATTTTATCATAGCTATTGGTAAGAATTATTTTATTAATAATTATTATAGGCTTAAATTAAAATATCCTGACAGTGAGACTTTGTAACCATAGGTAAAACCATGCATGGCTCACTACCACTGTATAAAAAATGCCTAAACAGATAAAAACTATACACACAATGAATTATATATTCCTCTACCCCCCTAATAAATCTAATGCAATATAAATGACTATAACATAGTATTCAATATAAATATTCCACATTTCTGCCCAAACCATGGTAAATTATTACAGTCATGGTAAATGTTTGTAAGGGTGGTGATGATTGGGGGATTTATAGTCTTTGTTCATGTTTCTGCCATTTACCTCATCAGTCGTGTTGAGAATGTTAAGGCTTTTTCATCCGATTTAAAACTAGTTAAAATCATTGAGTGATTTGTGGTTTGTAACAGAGAGGAGTGTCCGATTGAAACGCTTCTCACTGGATGTCGCAACGCTGTTTAATAATAGTGTCCGGAACCGGGAGTAAACGCAACTCCTTTAAGCTTGCGTTCCGTTATCCACTGGGGCTGGGCCGTGTTGCCTAGTTCAAAGTAAACTAGTGAAACAACTGGAAACGGCGCTATTTGTTCTCTATTTGTTGTTGCTGACCGAGAAACCGCTTCAGATGATTCAGTGACAGAACGGTCCGAACGAATCCGAATCGTTTCAGACCGTTACGCAAGTGCGTTAGGCCAATTCATGGAAAGGAAATAATCGAACCAACGAATGATTAATATCGCTGGTTCAGTCGACAGAAATACGGGACACACATAATAACTGCTGAAATATTTGGACTGAAAACGTTTCTCTCAGGTCAGTCGGAGCGCTCATGGTACACACACAGTGCGTATAGTCGTCCAGCTGCAGGCGCCACTGCGGCCACGCGCATATCTAACCAAATTTAGCCGCACCACCAGAAAATAGGAGGAGGGAGGTTGGGGTGCCCTCGGGCCGTATGGAGATGGTTGGGGGGCCGCACTTGGCCCGCGGGCCGCCAATTGAATAGCCCTGCTGTACAGCCTGACATATAAAATAGTAATAGTCCGGAAAAAAAATATATTATTTCTTTTTTAAATGTAACAGTTTATTGAATAGACTTTTTTGTTGAGTATCATATTTGATAGAGCAGGCTTATATGGCTAATATAGTATGATAAAGTGAGAATATGGAGCTCATACTCGAGGAGGAAAAAAGCCTCAGTTTTATTCAGAGGCCCAAACTGAGCAAAAATATGCAATATATGCAATAATTTATATGGCCATGAAGAAATTCTGATAGCTTTTTCAGCAAATTTGATCATGTTGATCTATTTGAATTTAGTGGCTTTAGAAATTCACGTATCAAATATGATACAACAAGCTTTATATGGGTTAATAAATGCTAATGTTTCATTTTGCCCTGTGTTGAGTGTTCAATAAAAAAAATGAAATCAGTTGAGATCCACTGATGTCTATCAAATGTTTCAGACAAGTCATTCGTCACCTGTTCAGTCAGGAAGGAGGGTTTGTAAGCGCCATCGGTTGACGTGTTCCCCGTTCCCCTCATGGACTTCATGTGTGAGACGGCCATGCGCAGGATGGTGAGCTTGTCTGGTTTCCTCGCTAGAGCGCTGCATGTGGGCACCATGTCCGACAGCTCTGTGATGTACTGGGTCATCTTATTACGCCGGCGACGCTCAATCTCACTGTGGTTCTCTCTGGATGGAGAGAGGAACAATACTGCCATCATTAGCATGTAATGAGAGACGCACAGCACATTTTTACAACTACGTTTGGACCACAGGTACTGGATAATTACCATCAAGGATGTCAAAACTTTTATTAATATATAAATAATCAAAATATGTAATATTCACTTATATAAATATATAATTTTAAAATATAACTAACGATTTCTATATTGAATATCTACAATACTCAAATTCTATATCTACAGTTTCTTTTTATTTTATAAATTTATTCTTGTTATACAATGTTAATAGAATATGAATACATATTAATAGAATATATATATATATATATATATATATATAAAATTATACATTTAAAATGTTATCTTTTTAAAATTATATACTACATTGATGTATTGTTTGTTTGGATAGGACAATATTTGGCCGAGATACAACTATGAAAAAAAATCTAAATATTGAGAAAATCGCCTTTAAAGTTTTTGAAAGTTTTAAAGCGATTTTGCTGCATCCACTGACAAAAATTAATTTTTTATATATTTACAAATTAACAAAAAGAAATTTACAAAATATCTTCATGGAACATGATCTTTACTTAATATCCTAATGATTTTAGGCATAAAATAAAAATCAATAATTTTGACTCATACAATGTATTGTTGGCTATTACCACAATTTCAAATATACCCGTGCGACTTATGACTGGTTTTGTGGTCCAGGGTCACATATAACAGCACTACTACATAAAACATTCACTATTTTTTTATTATTATTATTTGAAAAATGCATATTAATTCAGTTCAGCTTGATAAAAAAAAAAAAAAAAAAAAAAACGACAGCTCTGGTTTATATTTTATACAGAGTAAAAATAAAAGCATTTTTTTGTGTGTGTGCAGCATTTTTGAGATCCTTCTTTCACTTGTCGAATTACAATTGTGAAATTTGACTGAATGCCACCTACTTATGGCTCCCCTCACGTCCAAATCCATTCGACGTTAACTTTGATTGATAAATAAATAATTACAAATTATCGTAAAGGAGGCGTTCAGGACACTTTACTTTCAATATACAGCAATACATTTATTTGGCTTGTGTTTTCTTGTCAAACTTCGATAAAAGTTCCTTGGATTGATCTACTGCAACACTTCTTCTTCACCCGACACATTCATTTTAAAAAAGTGCCAGAGAGTATAATGTAAGACTTTTTCACTTCATTCTTGTGATTTAGCGGAGACTTCGGTAATAAACTGAACGCTGACATATTCGGAAGCCAGGATGCTGTATTAGTCCAAGGAGTGCAATGGCTCAAAGCAACGCGACAATTTCAGAAGAGAGTGTCAGCGGAGGATAATTAAATATCCATTTAAGATTAGATCTAAACAGAGTCGCTCGCTTGAGGTTGAGAGAATGAGGTTGGTCCTGACAGCAGCAGGGGCCTGATTTCAAGCTATCCTGAGGGAACTTCCCCGAGACAGCCCTACCTGGCATAACGCTCCTTATCACCAGGAATTTGATCATCGTCATACCTGACGGAAAAAAAAAAAGAGAGAGATTTAAATTAAAAACTGAAAAAGAGCCTGAAAATGTCTTAAAATGTCACATAATTTTTACGTTTTATGACTGTGGCTAAAATGAAATGATTATGAACCAAATTTATTCATGTTGAATGGCTTGACTTAAAGATAGTGTGTGAATATGGTATTATAATAAATGGACTGAGATTACTGGATAATGAAAAACAACAAAAAAGACAAACTAAACAATCTGAGGTGTCTGTATCGCAGAATATAAACTCACTCTTGCCTAAATTGCTTGAAAAAATTGGCTCCAACGAGGAGTATAATTTAATTATTTTCAATTATTTTAGTATAATTGAGAGACTATTACAGTATATGTATATATTTTTTTTTTTATTCCAGTCATGTGTTTGTCATTTTTACTAGTTATTGTTTTTTATGTCTATTTAGTTTCTAGTAGTTTTTTTGTTATTTTTTTAGTTTAAGTTAAACTAAATGAAAATGAGAAAAGTTGCTTGTAATTGTATTTCAGTTAACGCTAAAATAATCCTGCTTCAGTCACACTTAATGTATAAATGTACTGCACTATATTCAAAAGAAATTTACATTGCATTACATAAAATATTAAAGCTAGTCTGCAGAAAATTCTTTGGCACCTTTGTATTTAAGAAATTTGAAAAATGAAAGAGATTAAGAAAAAAATGTCTGTAACTATGCCACTTAATAAGGGACACATTTCTAATACATTTCAAACCAACTAAAAGACTACATAAAGTATATATGGCCATCTTATAATGTTTAAGCGGAATAGCTCACTCAAAAATTAATATTATGTCATAATTTAATCACCCTCATGTTGTTCCAAACATGTGTGCTGTTGTTGTTTTCATGAGATTTGATGATGTCAATCAAAGTTCTTGGTCATTGACAGAATAAATTTCAGTCCTAGAAATATAGTGGGATTGACTTTTCTGCATTGTTTTGGTCCGTTCAATTCAATAAAAAAAATAAAAATAAAACCTTAACATATTGGTTTGGAACAAGATAATGGTAAAATTAAAGTAAATAATGACAGCATTTTAATTATTTTTTAGTAAGACCATTTCTCTAGGTATGAGTGAAATAGCTGGAGTGTTTCTTGTATCTCCAGCAGGAGTCAGTGTCTCCACTCTAATGCTACAGCTAACAGTGAAGCATCTTTACCGTCAGTCGCAGCGCAACTATGGGTACAGCTCCTTTAAAAAGAACATGAACTGAAAGGAAACCATAAGTTGAGGGCAACAAAACATGAGAGATGTCTTGAAATGGCACAAACTGGCACAGCTGAAAGACATGGTCAAACAATAGAAAATATAAAAGAAAGGACATGGCGCATGGACTAAGTCGTTTGTCTGAAAAAAGCTTGCAAACATGTGAAAAGTTTACCTTGAAAATTTGCTGGGTCCCTCTCCGTCCTCGTCATCAAATTCCATCCTAAAAAAAAAGAATTTGTATATAAATTTTGCACAGCAGGGCTGATTTTGTGGTATACATCCATCATAGTACAAGAAAAAAAAGAAATCTAAATCAATAAAAGAAAATATATGCAGGTGATACAACAGAAAAACTTCTTCATATACTTAAAGTACATAGACAAAGTAAATCTAACAATAGAACAGAGAAGCTAAACACAGAAAACAGAAAAGGCAATCAAACAAATACAGATAGGCTAACAGCAGTCTATCATAAAAACGACAACAAAAAAGCAGATTATTACACTAGCTAGAGTAACACTGAAACTTCTACAGTCAGTTATATAAAATACGATCAACATACTGTAGATACACCTTCTTGTCCAATATTAAAAAAGTACAACAAGGAAATTCTGGAACCATATTTTGCTTGATTTTTTATGTGAATGACAACAAGGCTGTGAGGGACAGAAGTTTGCAGGTGTTTTTACTTTCATTAGTAATAAATTAAATATGGCATCTAATCTGGCCAAGGCTTATAGTCAAACTATGAGAGAGGTTTTATAAAGTAGCACAATCTCAGAACGAAACCTGTCTGATGTTGTTGTGTGGGCAGGTCAAGGGTGTTCTCTTTCATAGGTTCACTCAACGCTGCGTAGCTTAAAGCAGGGGTCCCCAACCCCCGGGCCGCGGACCGGTACCGGTCCGTGGGTCATTTGGTACCGGGCCGCACAGAAAGAATAAATAACTTATTTCCGTTTTATTTATTCACACATTTACCTGTTCACATATCGTGTCTTTTGCGCGCTCAAGTTTGTTATTTCAAATGTAGGCGCACCTCAGACAAATGCAGAGCCGTTGCGCAGGAGAGATAAGTTAGTTTCACGGCAGAAGCTCCGTTTACTGATGCTTGGGCCAACTTTTCTTAAAATATAATCAAACTGGTCCTTGTCCACTAACAAGGCTCAAAATAGCCCCACACTAACACGGTAGCATAATGAGGGTCCCTACCTTCAAACCGAAGCATTGAGAACTTTGTCAGTGTCCAGACAGTTTAATAAGAAGATATTTTAAACATACAGTCAACTTCGCGTATACAGGCAGAAGCCATCTTTGAAAAACAGTCTTTACCAGTCGATCTACGAACGCCGATCCAAGCCTGCTGTTCACGCTCACCTTATCACAACTTATAGCTCGTTCACATTCTCACCAGCGCACTTGGATCGGCGTTCGTAGATCAACTGGTAGATCAAGTGTCCATAGATTCGATGATTTCAATGTGGATTGCACGAATGCTTTGACAGCAGAACAAGACCGCCCATCTTTTACTGTCTGCATGACCCCCCCGTGTGCGTCGTGAAGAGACCGACCATGGTCCAAAGACATCAAGTCCAACGTACGAAAACGGAGGATCCGTGTTGAGGCGACAGTCAGGTAAGTCGGCCATTTTCTGAGTTTCGCAGGTGCGGCGGAGTCTACGACAAGTGACACATCTGAAAATATGACTGTTCACACACCTTTTTCCACCCACAATCCACCAGCCGGCAGAACGAATAGCGCCCTCTGTAAAGAGACGTCCCTGATGTTGAGTCTGTTCATGATAATGGCGCACAAGAAGAGTGGCAATGTGATGACGACCAGGAACTATTATAGGTTGCTTCTCCTCGCGTCTTATATTAGCCTCTGTGATGCGTCCGCCCACTCTAATGAGACCGTTTGTGTCAATGAAAGGGCTCAGGGCTCTGATGGGGCTGTCCTTTGGAAGAGGTCTTTGATCCCTGATACACTGCAGCTCTTTTGCGTAAGTCTCCTCTTGAACGGTACGTATGATTGTGTTTTGGGCCTTGGTGAACATTTCTACTGTGTGATCTTGGGTGCAGTGATGCCATCCGTAGCAGCCATCATGAGAATCCTCTGTATTCTTCCTGTAGAGACGGACTATATGGGTGAGACATGAAATGGCACGGGTGAGTGATTTCCAGCTTGAGAAGCGGCAAAACCTTTGGGACCCAAGTAGTCTCTCCTTGACAGTTGTGCTCAGGGTAGACACAAGGGGGCGGACATCTACGTCCTGTTCCGGATTCACTAAGTCAAGGGTGGCCTGCTGGTTATGCGTTTGCTCAGGCTGTGACAGGAGAGCTGGACCTGAGAGCCACATGGTGTCTTTGAGGCGTGCTGCTGAAATGAATTTCGTTGCGTGATCAGCAGGATTGTTATCAGTTGATACAAAGTGCCACTGTGTGGGGTTGAGAACCTTCTTATCCGCTGCACTCTGTTGTTCACGAAGACATAAAATCTACGCTTTTCATTGTGGATGTATCCCAATACTACCTTACTATCCGTGAAATAGCTGATGTCATCTATCTGAATGTCCAGTTCAGCAGTAATGAACTCTGCAATGTCCACTGCTAACACGGCAGCACATAGTTCCAATCGCGGGATAGTCAACTCTGGCCGAGGGGCTAGTTTTGCTTTTCCTAGAACAAAGCCTGTGTGGCAGCTTCCATCTTGATCAAAGAGCCTTAAGTAGGCCACAGCTGCTGCTGACTGAACTGATGCATCCGAGAAAATGCAAAGTTCTCTGCGTTGGGCTGTGGGAGGAGAGACCTGCGTATAGGACCTAGGTATCTGTAGGTTCCTGAGCTCTTGGAGTGATTCTCTCCATGCTGTCCATAGCTGCTCTTTCTCGGCAGGTAGCGGTGCGTCCCAGTCGTGGCAGTCAACTGTTAATTCCCGAAGTATGGCTTTCCCCTGCAACAAGATCGGGGCGACGAATCCTAAGGGGTCATACAGGCTGTTAATGGTTGACAAGACTCCACGTCGAGTAAAGGGTTTGTGTTCGTCAGACACCTGAAATGTGAATGTGTCGCTCTTCAGGTCCCAACTGACACCTAAACTTCGCTGCATGGGGAGATCGTCGGCTCCCGGATCTAGATCCTTTAGGTCGCTGGCATGATCGTCTGAAGGGAAGGCTGCCATAACCTCTGCATTGTTTGACGCGATCTTATGCAGCCTGAGGTTGGAGCGTGCCAGCATCTGCTGCGTCCTTTTGAGCAGATCGATGGCAGCTGAAGCTGAAGGTAGAGATTTTAATGCATCATCTACGTAGAAGTTCCTCTCCACGAATCTTCTAGCATCTCCTCCAAAGGTCTCCTCTCCCTCTTGCGCAGTCCTTCTCAGTCCAAAGATAGCTACAGCCGGTGAAGGACTGTTACCAAAAACATGCACACGCATTCTGTATTCCTTGATGTCTCTGTTAAAATAATTGTCTTGATACCACAGAAAACGTAAGAAGTTTCGGTGGTCTGGTCTGACAAGGAAGCAGTGGAACATCTGCTGTATGTCCGCTGTGACGGCAACAGAGTCCTGGCGGAAACGAAGGAGCACTTCTAGGAGGTTATTATTTAGATCTGGACCAGTCAGGAGGACATCGTTAAGAGAGACGCCATCGTGCTTAGCACTTGAGTCGAAGACTGCTCTGATCTGTCCAGGTTTCTTAGAGTGATACACCCCAAAAATAGGTAGATACCAGCACTCCTCCTCAGGTTCGAGCGGGGGTGCTTCTTCTGCATGTTCATTCTGAAATATCTTTTGCATAAATGCGAAGAAGTGTTCTTTCCGCTCTGGGTTCCTGTTGAAGGAGCGCTGGAGTGATCTGAAACGGTTAAGAGCTTGAGCCTTGTTGTTGGGCAGGCGACGTCTCTGTGTCTTAAAGGGTAAGGGAGCCGTCCAACTATTATCTTTATCTTTGTAAAACCCTGGTTCCATGATGTTCAGAAACGCCACGTCTTCAAATGAAGGTGCAATTTTGTCGTCGTCTTTGGATCTCTGAAACACAGTGCATCCTATGTGGTCTTTGCTGTTCTTGCAAATGAGAGACCCAGTGCTGTCATGTGTTTCTTTCACAAAGTAGCGGTTGGGACATGGCTTGAAGAGGGATGCTCGTCCGTTTTCCAGTGTATTAGTGTAGAAGGTGTTCACTGTGTCTGGTTTGTGGACCTTACCAAGGCAGACACTGCCCACTATAACCCAGCCCAAGTCGAGCCTTTGCGCGTATGGAGAGTCGTGGGGGCCATTAATTTGTTTACGCACTTTATGGACTCTGATGAGGTCTCTGCCAAGCAGCAACATTATGGGTGCCTGGGAATGTAGAGTTGGAATTTGTTTTGCAATACCTTTTAGGTGCGCGTGTTGAACAGCTACCTCTGGAGTGGGAATTTCAGATCGGTTATTGGGAATTTGATTGCACTCTATCAGAGTAGGGAGGGTGAGAGTGACTTCATCATCCAAAGATTGTACCTGGAAGCCGTGCGCTCTTCTCCCTGACTTCTCCGCTATTCCCGCACATGTCCTGAGGGAATATGGAGAATGGTCACCTTTAACATTGAAGAGTTCGAAGAATTCTGACCTTACCAGGGACCGATTACTCTGTTCGTCCAATATGGCGTACAACTCAACTGCTTTATCCCGTAGGCCGGTAGGGAAAACTTTGACCAAACAAATCTTAGAACAGGATCTTCCAGTTGTGTCTCCGCCACAAACTTCTGTACACTTTGATGTCACTGCAACATTTGGACCGACACTCTCATCCTCCCCGCCATGCTCGTGTGTAGGTTTCAGGGTCTTGATGGACCATGGAGCGGGCCCCGGGGGTAGAACCGAATGGTGTCTGTCGTCGTCACACTCGGTGCATCTAACGTTCTTTGCACAGTTCTTCGCGAGATGAGATGTTGATGAGCAACAATGGAAACAAATGCCACTTTGTTTTAGAAAGGCTTTTCTCTCTTCAAGGGGTCTCTCTCTGAACGCACGGCATTTGAAAAGGGGGTGGGGCTTCTTATGAATAGGACATGTCTTCGCTGGGTCTTCTATCTTGGGGAGTGTAGGGTCAATTGGTGTAACTATGGTTGCTGAGATGTCAGTCTTATGGACCGACACAGGTGTACGTAACTCATGTTTTTATGAGTGTATTTGTCTGTCTTGATCTGATCTCCAGTACAAGGAACAAACATGAAACTTGGG